TGCTCGTTTTTTAAATAGTACTTACACGCACAACTTTACACACACCTAGTACACCACAATTTACGTCCTATGACACGAACAGTCACGAAACAAGGACCACGTACATGACAGGTCAACATCATAAATAAAATCAACAATACTCGAGTATCTACGTTTAACTAAACACTTATAGAACTAGGACTATAGACACTGTGTCCAAACATACATCTTTACATACAATGTTCCACAGTTTGACGACACGATTATAGTACGATGCTAGTACACAATCACGTACTCTTTGTCTAGTTTAGCGATCGTGAGTGGAACGGAGTTTACTTGAGCATGCAATCTTGCACCACCATATTCAGATACACTATATTCGAGCTGTTGTCAAACATAATATGAATTGTGGACATTTATCCGAGGTCTTTGATTCTGTTTAGGCTAAAGGTCGTGGAAATTGGATTCACTGGACTAAAACTATTAAGTCGAGCAATCTTGGTGGCAAAGGAACAAAAATCAGCGAGATCATTGTTCCTACTATGGACACAGCCCGATATAAATTTCTCATAGACATTCTAATCAGACACAACAAGCCAGTAATGTTGGTTGGACCTACAGGCACGGGCAAAAGTGTGTATATTAAAGATAAACTCATGAATGAACTGGATAAGAATGCATTTATTCCTGCATTCCTTAACTTCTCTGCGCAAACGAGTGCTGGTCAGACACAGGTTTGTCCCAATTCTTATACATTAATGTATTTCTTATACATTATATTGTACCGTATAATTCTTATACATCAATATATTCTTCCATGGAAGCTTATATCGATATTTTTTTTTAAAACAAACGAACAGTTACTGGACAGGATTTATTAAGAGGCTTTTTTCCATCACACGTGTTTGCGATGAAAAGTTTGCGTATACCTCTACAAATCACGCAATTTGTCCCACAAAAAATCCCCCACCCTGTCTTGTGGTATTATTACTTTGTTAATTGGCTTTAATACAATTAGATTCAGATTTTTATAGTAGGTTGAATAACTTGTTCAAAATTATTGGAATTTAATACTCCTATAGGAGCGTTTTTGAGAAATGGCCTGCACCAATATTTCATTTCATGTAAAAAAGTGTAAAATTGAGGCATAAACCCTGAAGGGAGAGGGAGCTGCCCTAAATTTGCTGTGTTCTGTTATTTTTTGTCCAAAAGCAAGAAATTTGTGGCATTTTCTATTCCCTGTCATGGTGTCTGCCCTGTTTTTACATTAAATGAAATCATGTCACTTTAACGGTTAAAATTAAAAATACCATTCAGGGCGTCCCAGAAATGTCACCTCCCCCACTCCATTTTATTGTATTACCACGTCAGCTTTAATGTAAGATCCAAATTTTTGTGCTACTGTATATTTAATAACAACATAACATAATTTATCATGTCAAACCATTGATACTTGGGTGATCAATATAACCATTTGCATTCCCAGAATCATTTACCAGAAATGTCCTTATTATCGCGTTAAGTGGCAATAAACGTATGAATTTAATGAAACCGGTTTGCTATTGCCAATGTTATGAACATGTTGTGTATTTACGTGACATGTTGTGTTGCATTTAGGATATCATAATGTCTAAACTTGACAAAAGAAGAAAAGGTGTTTTTGGACCTTCACTCGGAAAAAAGTAAGAAGAATTTTGTTTCAGTCTATATTTTTTGGAAGCTGTATTAGGTGATTAAAGTCTTTAATTTGGAATACAAAGCATATAATACAGCTTAAAATATTAAACAACTGCGGTTTGCAGACGACGCTGTCTCTGACTGTGGTGTAGTTCTGAAACCTAAGCCTTACCAATAACAGTTGTGTATTCTTAGCTCAGTGTTTAAGACGTTGGAAGACGTATTTTATGCAAATTTATCTTGCAGCGGACAATGTATAGATAATTTGGAAGTAAAATAAGTATGGTTGGTTGGTTGGTTGGTTGGTTGGTTGGTTGGTTGGTTGGTTGGTTGGTTGGTTGGTTGGTTGGTTGGTTGGTTGGTTGGTTGGTTGGTTGGTTGGTTGGTTGGTTGGTTGGTTGGTTGGTTGGTTGGTTGGTTGGTTGGTTGGTTGGTTGGTTGGTTGGTTGGTTGGTTGGTTGGTTACCATGTATGCATGCATGCATGTACAGCAGCCAATAGAATCTTCTTGTCAGTTGACTTCATAATATGACAAATTTCATGTAGTTCACATTTTGTTAAACATTTTTTAGATTTATAATTTTTGTCGATGACTTAAACATGCCTGCATTGGAAATCTATGGTGCACAGCCTCCAATCGAACTACTGAGACAGTATCTGGACCATGGAAATTGGTATGTAATCCTTTGACGCTTTCAAAAAATATTAGGAAGGAACTGTGCAAATTCATTTTGAGTTATTTATTAGTCTGTTGAAATACGTACAGTAGGGTTTTCCTATATAAACATTTTTGAACATTCATTATCAATAGCAATGAAATCTATGCCATTTTGTAGTTTAATAATATCTAGAGAGAACTACAAAATGTCGATTTCCTTCTTCTCTGTGGGAAGACTTCGTCCGACGTGAAATATCTGCTCATAATATTTGGTTTCACTATTCGTTTCGCTCGAATTCCTGAAAATGTTACTCCAAGTGTACAGTATATATAGTGCTCACTATGGTTTCTTTCAGGATTGTGCTCAACAACACTAGAACAATATATTTATTTATTTATTTATTTTTATTAACCTTACAATCATATTATATAAAAAATACACATGATTGAAGGATTGCATGGACAACACAACTAGAATCTCACACTATAAGTCCATCCATCTAACACAAAAACACGACATATTACGGATTAGAAACTGGACAACGTAATACTGATTTTACAGGCATTAATAAATACTACACTACTGTGAAATTATTTGCGATGTTCGGATTTGACCACCACCAGCACCACTAGTTGGAAACCATGCATGCAAACCAGGTCAGCGCGATGTATTGATGGTGGTAAAAGCGAAAAGTGACTCCAGCCTTACAACACTCACTTTATACAATATAAATATGCAAGAATAAATACTACACTATCAAAATTATTTGCGAGGTTCAGATTTCCCCCCCCCCACCACCACCACCACCACTTGTTGGAACCACTAATCACTTACATGCAAACCAGGTCAGCGCGAGGTTGTGATGGGATTAGTGGAAGTCAAACGCGAAAACCTCGCTATTTAACACCAGACCAGCTACGAGCAGCAGGTGATGTTGCTCGAGCGACATTTCATGCAAATAGTTTCCCATGTCCTTGGACGCTCAACATCAAAGTCCGGGTTTAGTTTATTAAGATAATAGGTATATAAACTTTGGATTTGAATGCAGCGTAAGAGTTCGATGACTTGATATGACTAGGAATATATTTTATATCTTGTTTATAGGTATGACAAGAAGGATACATCGAAAATCAGTTTAGTTGATCTTCAGTTCATATGTGCCTTGGGCCCACCTGGTGGAGGACGTAACCCTGTCACTCCAAGATTTGTCCGTCATTTTAATATCATATCTGTTGCAAAATTCAACGATGACACAATGACAAGAATATTCTCCAGCATTGTCAGCTTCTATTTTAAGGTTTGCCATATAATAATTATTATATATAATAATTAACATATAAGAATTCAACTCAACTGGACAGTGTACCATGCTACTGTGTTTATATGTTGTTTGTTGTTTCGCCAAACTTTCTTCCGCCAAACCTCGTGACGCCTTTCTACCCCCAGAGAGGCAGGGGGCGAATGGCAATTATATACACCTCTGCTATAAAGCAATTTGGTGTACAGCGATTGATCATCTTCCTTTCTATGTTCATTTTAACAGAACAATGAATTTCCCAATGACGTGTATGCCTTAGGATCACAGATTGTTTCTGGAACCATGGAAGTAAGCGAAAGTGTATTTTAACATATTACTGATTTACTGTGCAGTGCAATATTGCGCATTGTTATTTATTGATAAGATTTCGTTGCATCCATGTAGTTGGCTATCAGCCAACGGTGATAGAATCGTCATTCGAAATTTGTTTCAAATTTTTCAAAAATAATAGAGCTTTCTTTGAAGTTAACAAACTTAATAATTCAACACTCCTTATATATTGTTTACGTGGTCGTCGCGCGTGGTTTACGCGAATCATGTCACCCTGGTGATATGACTGAAATCACCCGCTACGTCAAATACGATGACGTAACGTGTGATTCGATGATAAATTTTATGCTCAGGTGGCACAAACCTTTTTTGATTGGACGCATTGAATTTGAGGTACAATATTGATTATTATCACACGTTATGACGTCATGCTATTAATACAACGTGGAAACACGAACAATATATGGTGTTGCCCTCATTAGTTCGCGGAGATAATGGAGGTAACAGTTTGAAAAACAAAAACTATAAATAGAAACCAAAACAGCCACGAAAGGTTTTGAAATATTTTGTGACGTATATTTGAATGAAAATCTTGCCCAAATTGCGGAAGAATTATGCTGAAGATTATGTACATGTATCATAACTTAATAAAATATAAAACATATAAATAAAAATAAAACAATTATATTGAATACGGTTTTCATATGATTTGAAAAACTGTTTGTGTTATCCGCCTGAGTTTTCATTATGCGCAACCTCATTAATAAGTAAACACGTTTAACGTATCTTTTATTTGTAGATCTATAAATCAGCCATGACAAACTTGTTACCAACGCCAACAAAGTCTCATTATACATTCAACTTGCGAGATTTCGCTCGTGTCATTCTCGGAGTATTGCTAATCAAGAAACAGGCACTGGATGATAAAAAGACTGTTGTGAGGTACTCTACGTAACACTTTACACTCACACACGAAATAGGAAATATATTACTAGTAGTTGAATTCGAGAGGTTTTATAAACTTAGTGTTTACTTGAAAATCCTTCAGACAATGATAACAGTAAAACTGTACGTTATCGTACGTTTTCCAAGATTTTGTCGACATACAATCCTGCGTCCGTACGATTTAAACGAAAATTAGCGTAAAATCCAACTAAAGCCCGTTTACACTACGCTCGATTTTTGGTACCGTACCACTTTATTGGTTCCAAGAACCAAAAAAGTGGTTCGGGTACCAATTTTATCCGTGCCGCACGAAAAATTGAGCGTAAAATGGGGCTTAAGACACTTAACTTTGTGCTTGTGAAATGATCCGTACGGCGGTAGAAAACATGTCTTTAAGATTCCTAACATGATCGTCTATTTGATGATAGATTATGGGTTCATGAAGTATATCGTGTATTTTATGACCGTTTGGTTGATGACAAGGATCGTGCCTGGTTACACAGCTCGTTGAAGAAAGTCACGAAAGAACATTTCAAGGAGGATTTTGACGCAATGTTTAAACATCTTGGAAACAGCAAGAATGTAAGTGATCTGATATGCTTTAGTTCTTGTTCGCCACATTCCACTGCAAACGTTTGACTCATGCAGAAACTTGAGTAAGATAATGCACCCCTGGTGCAGTGACTTAAAATATTGAATAAAATTACTCAACAATTATTTTACTCAGGTTCTTCAGTCAAATACTCGGGGATTTTATCTAAGGATAATAAATTTTGTACAAAACTAAATTCTTTTTAAAATTGTTGTCAGCATGTGCTATAATATTTTTATCCAAACTTCGTTTTCCGCCCGGAATATCGATTGCTACAGTTCTCAAGAACTAATTACTTTTTACGAACAGATAACAGAAGATGATGTGAGAAGTTTGATGTTTTGTGATTTCCTTAATTCAGATTTGGTAATTATATTGATTATAATGATTATAAATTACACAATTACCTGTACTTCTGCAATAGAATTGAACAGCGAAAGTGAATGATTAACGCATGTCTTTATGTTTCTTTTTTTAGTTGGTTGAAGATCGCTTATATCAAGAAGTCAACTCGATGGATGAGCTATACAAAGTTGTTGAACAGTATTTGGACGAATACAATCAGTTGCATAAAGCGCAGATGAACCTTGTTATTTTTAGGTGAGTCTTAAGCCGGTTACAGACGAGCAAGTTTTCTATGACAAGTTTTTATGTGACAAGATGTATTTGCTCGTCTGTACACGCGACTTTAGCATGCTAGCTTTTGAACAAGTGCACTTGTCATAGAAAAAATTGTCAAAGTACAAATTTTGTTCGTCTGTATGGGTCAACAAAGAAAACTTGTCAAAGTAATCTGAGCATTTGATGTGATTGGCCAGCGCTCGCGTTGACCGCTGTACTATTACATTGCTGGCTACTAATAAATTGTCAAAGTAAACTTGTTGACACGTTCACACCAGTAAATAAAACTTGTCATATGAAAACTTGTCATATAAAATTTGTTGTATATACACCCGTGCACTTGGCAAATAAAACTTGTCACATAAAAACTTGTCATGGAAAACCTGCTCGTCTGTAACCGGCTTTTTTAATTGGTTGTGGTGCTTGATTTTGATCAAATAGCTATAGTATTTCGTTTGGTTGGCAATAAAACAACTTTTTAACCGATAAACCCTAGAGCAATTACAGCTGTAAAGGCATTTGATGATTAGTAAACTCAAATCCCTTTAAAACCTTATACTGCGGTGAACACCAAGAAATTTTAGAAAACGAACAACGTGAGTTCCCTTTAAATACAACAACGAGCGGTCGTGCGATAACACTGTGTATGAATTTTGTAAGAACTGCTCAATCAAAAATGGCGAAAATTAGTGAAGAGTTTGCTCTCTCTGGCCTCTGGGCTATAATATTTTTAACAAAACATGGTCTCAACCGTATTTTTACGCCGTGAAGTTCATCATCCAAGCACAATTTTAAATCAATATCGTATTCCTTTTTTTCAAGGTATGTTTTAGAGCATCTGGTTCGAATCAGTCGTATTTTAAAACAAGCTGGTGGTAATGCTTTACTAGTGGGTGTCGGCGGCAGCGGTAGACAGTCCTTATCACGTTTAGCTGCGGCAATATCAGATTTCCATGTTTTCCAACCGGAAATTTCCAAGAGTTATGGGATGGCTGAATGGCGAGAAGATATCAAGGTATAAATGCATTTCTTTTACACCGTGCATGTTGATGTACGATACTCGAGTCCGATACTACTGACAGAATTGCAATGATTCGAGCGCCAACAATTCTCCGATTTTGAAACGCATGTACAGTGTGGAAGATTTCTTGTTTTCGTTAGGATTTCGTTACACGAATCGTGAAGTTTTAACTTCGTGCATGATGTCAAGACGTTGGCATGCCTGTATATTTATTTTTTTTGCAGGTAGCCAAAAAACATTTTCAGTTAGCCCTACGTAGTCCAAACGTGCTCGCTTCACTTGAAATTGCGACATTTCAGAAGAAATTTTGTTGAGTTGCGTTTCATATTGTCAAAATTGAGTGTCCACTAATTTGCTCAAACCCAATTGCTGGAACATTTTCGTATATCAAGCCGACAATCTTGTCGGCTGACGAATAAGATTCGGCCACAGAACCGGAAATTTTAAGTTTTTGATGGCATCATTTGATGAATTTACGTCCTGGGTACGACTCTTATTAAATCTGGTCGGTAAATATTGCAGAATGTATTCGGAAAAATTGAAATTTTCTACTTTACTTAAGCATGCATAAGGCCTTCTGACCAAGAATTGCAGTTAGCTTCAGGCACTTGCAGGTAGCGCCGCTACCTAGGATCCCAACATCTGACAGGCATGGACGTTGGCAAGATGTTGTCAACGTATTGATTTGGTACATTCTACAGGTTCGGTCACATGAGGCGACAACTCCCTGGACTGTGGAAGCAGGCACTTGTACATGGGAAAGGTCACACGGAGTGACAAGGGCCCAATGAAATTCTGGTTAAATTTCGATGAAAATTGGTTGTCATTGATCCGCTGAGAAAAACCAATCATTCTCTTCCAGGCGTTGACAACATGTTATTGTTCATTTTAAAAACACGATAATTATCATAGTGATTCTTTTTGGGAAACTGCGGATGCTTTCTGAAAGTGATTAAAAATTTTGAAACTTGAAGAAATGATTTACTAAGTAGTATAATTTGAAACACGAGCAGGAGTGCTTTATTAGACATAAAACACGAGGCGACAGTCGAGTTTTTATATGTGATAAATGGGAGTGTTTTAAATGGCTTAAAAAACTGCCCATCTTATAAGTTCATAAGTCCATTGGCGAAGTAATTTTAAAAATTAACGTTGTCTAAGCCGAGAAACATGATTTTTTATCACATATAAAGCCACCGACATGGAAGTGATTTCCTTTGTCTTTTTTTCATGAATTATTAAAGAGCTTTTACTGTTTTTCCTATAACTTGGTCTTTGTTTGTTTTCAGACCTTGCTTAAGACTGCTGGTGCACAAATGAAGCCAACTGTGTTTCTATTAACTGATACTCAAATTAAAGAAGAATCTTTCCTTGAGGATATCGACAGCTTACTGAATACAGGAGAAGTCCCGAATTTATTCGCTGTGGATGAAAAAGCTGAATTGGTTGAGGTTAGCTCTTAAGATCTTGAATTGTTATAATAATCAAATAATACCAGTAGAATTTGTTCTTCCCGTTCGGATCAAGTATAAATGTAGTCCTTTAAGTCTTTGCATATTATATGCACAGAAGTTACACATAACTTGTTTGCAGTTAGATTATGCACCAGAGAATGCAACAACTTAATTGTCACTATCATCATTATTACCTTCCGTCCATTTTGTTGAGCAACATTCATTTAATGATCAAGGATCAATTATTCCATAGAAAATAGAATAGATGCTTTGGAAACTCATTAGAATAAACATATAACTCATCTATGTTAGTCGACGTTTATTTATAAATATGGTCCTTCACCGTCACGTGTGTATTGTATTTTTGCCAAATCCACCAATAGCAATTTCCAATTTACGGATAGGTTACTTTCCTAAAACATTGCTATTGGTCAGTTGTGCAAAAATACAATAAGCACGTGACGGTGAAGGGCCAGATTTATGAATAAACGTTGACTAACATAGATAATAGTTATATTTTTATTCTAATGCGTTTCCAAACCATCTATATAATTAACTATGATTACATGAATGTTAGTTCGTGAATGACCAGAATGTTAATTGTTGTTCCTACATTACAGATGGTACGACCAGTAGCCCAGGCACAAGCTGATGATAAGAACGCAGAATTTTCACCGTTGGCTCTTTTCAACTTCTTTGTGAGCTGCTGTCGCGAAAATCTTCACGTAATGTTGTGTATGAGTCCTATTGGAGACGCTTTCCGTAACAGACTGAGGCAATTCCCATCGTTAATTAACTGTTGTACCATTGATTGGTTTCAGGTAAGAATATATGTTTGCTTTTTAGTATTTTTAACTCCGCCAGAAGGTTTTGATTTCATCCGCGCTTGTATGTGTGTGTGTGTTTGTCTGTCAGCACGATCACTTAAAAAATATCAAAAGTATTCATACGAAAATTTGTGGGCCTATGGAGCATTGGCAAGGGCAAATTGATTAAATTTTGGTTAAATTTCGATGAAAATTGGATGAGAAATGGGTGATTCCGGCTATGGACTAAATTTTGATCAAGGCAAGAAGAACCAAATCCAACACCACAGCTAGAAAGAGCGTCTTAGAATGATTGAAACTGCAAAGGTTGGTTGTTAAATTTTGTAAAATGAAGAAATGTTGTATATATTTGTATTACGCGCGGTAAAAATTACCACTTTCGGCTCAAAAATGGTTATTTTTCCCGCACGTAATGCAAATATATGCATAATTTTCGAACTTCACAAGACTACATTTTCCTCATTGTACAACAATTCGCAACCAAATTTTGCAATTTTATTCATTTTAAGATGCTCTTTCCAGCTGTGGTAATGGATTTCGTTCTTCTTGTCTAGATCAAAATTTAGTCTATAGCTGGAATATCCACTAGCAAACTTCTGTCTTGCTTTGCCAGGCCGAGTAAACAGAATGCGTAATTAGCCCATTGTATAATTTATGCATGATACATCACTTAATTCGCTGGCGGAAGTATGCAGTCTCCGAGTGTCCTCATTTCCCCCTTTCGTTTCCTCTGTTGCATCACATGTAGCTGTCATATGTGACGCGCGGATAGGTTTAATTCTAATTTACGGCAGAGTATCACGGTCCAATTAAGCTGCAATGCTCGCTGCTCGCCGTATTAAATGATAGCCTATAACTGCCTATATCATGATTGGGGAGTTTATATACCGTAGTTGTGATATTCGGAACATTTTGAAACGAAATGCATTACATCTTCTTAGAGAAAAACCATCTTCCTGCCTTCGTGGCATTTTTGGCTGTCAAATCACTGGAAGTGATGTATAATAATCATATTGTGGTTACAAAAGAAAGAAAACTACTGTAATTTGGATTTCCTGGTAGACATCACTTCCGGTAACTTTAATAGTTAAGCTACGTTTACACGCTACGATTAATCGTGTACGAGTCGTATTCTGGCGTATTAAAATTAGTGCTGGCGCCATAATTTATTGCCGTTTCATTAAAAAGAAATTTCAAATGTAGCAGCTTACGCGTGTTTACTCAATGACATACGCTTAAATGTTCTGAATATCGCAAATATGTAAAATCCGAAAATCATGAGATATAGGCACTGTATCATGCGCGAGAACGTGTTGCACTAATACAAAGCAAAAACGACAGAAATGCAAGAAGCGCAACGGACGTAAGACACGAAGAGCTCCTTAAATTAAATAATGTTTCGCCAAACAGTCACTTGAGTGGAATCATAGTCTGTATCATGTAGTTATACTAGTTTTCCAAACGGATAAGTATGCGTTTTTTTGCATTATTCACCCATATAATCATATTTTATTTTCTTAGCCTTGGCCTGAGGATGCCTTGGCGATGGTAGCTACGAAGTTCTTAGCTGATGTCAGTCTAACGGACAAAGAAAGGACAGAGGTTATACCGCTTGTAAAGCATTTTCACACCAGTGCCAGAAATCTCTCTGAAAGGTACTAAACAACTATCATAGTGTTCTGTATTTGCAAGATTTCTTTCACTTTCGCTTGTGAGAAAGCCGACGTTAAGAAGAAACCGTGTCAAAGAAGATTCGGGAAAATTTTACTGACATTCTGAGTTGCTAAAACTTTGACGGATTGATTGTCCAAGATGCTTCCTTAGCGGTAAAACCGTTGGCCGCATTATGCCACTTAGGGCCTGTTCATATGAGAAACTCAGAACTTCTTAGGGCCTGAGATCTGCATTGTGTTCATATGAGAAACTCAGAACTTTTTAGGGCCTGAGACTTGCATTGTGTTCATATGAGAAACTCAGAACTTCTTAGGGCCTGAGATCTGCATTGTGTTCATATGAGAAACTCGGAACTTCTTAATTAAAGCCTGAGATCTGCATTGTGTTCATATGAGAAACTCAGAACTTCTTAGGGCTTGAAGTGAGGGCTAGAAGTGAGGTCTCACCATGCACTAGGTGGGATCTCAATCAAGTGGGATCAAATTTTCCATATGAAAGCTTTAACCCACCTGTCCTGGATGGACCAATTTTTCCCGATTTTGACCTATAATATAGTATTGACCGGCATGGTTGGAAAATAGAAACAAAAACAGTAACTCGTATGAACAGGGCCTTAGTGGATTAAGTCGGTATTCATATCTGATGTGCTTAAAAGCAATTCTCCAGTTTGTAATAACGATAACGTTTTAATTTTTAGGTGTGTGTACCTCGTATATACGTCTCACGTTGTAATTTTGATTTTGTTTATTTCAGCTATCTTGACGAACTTGGTCGTCATAACTATGTTACACCAACATCCTACCTGGAACTTATCTCTTCCTTTAAAGGATTACTAAACAAAAAGCAAGATGAAGTAAGTATATTACATAGTCCTTCCCTATAGATAAAAGATTTAATTCACTTCATCTCCGCCCAAGGAAGGAAGGAAGGGGGATTATTGTACAGAGATCTGGCGGAGAACATGCCACCTATATATCCCAGCTAAGTCATACTAACTTATTATCTTTACTTCTTCTCTAGGTAATGAAGATGAAACGGCGGTACGAAGTTGGTTTGGAGAAGCTTCAATTTGCCTCTTCACAGGTTAATAACTGCACTTGCTCCAGTGACCACTTAAACTCCACAAACAATTCATTTCAGCAAATTCCTTGAAGTTCACGTTTTGCATATATCCCTTTGCATATATTGAAGAAAATTATAATTAGTTTTCATTACATTTTTGTAGTACGTATAACACACTCTTTACTTATTTCACAAACCCTATGTTTCAGGTAGCAGACATGCAAGTGGAACTTGAAGAACTTCAGCCCCAACTTGTAGAAACTGCAGCTGAGAATGAAAAGATGCTTACGGTATGTCGTACGTGTATAACCTGTCTATATTTTGTACATGTACCTTGTCATAATGGGAGAAGTTGTTATTGTTTTCTTCTCTTTTATATTTTCCTATATTGAAATTGTCCATAGTGGTGCTAAATTATTTTTAATAGGAAGAAAACTTTATTTGCCTAGGTTATTGAAAAAGAATCAGGAGAAGTGGAAGCGGCAAGTAAAATAGTTCGTGAGGACGAGGCAGTAGCCAATGCGAAAGCAGCGGAATCTCAAGCTTTGAAAGATGAATGTGAAAGTGATCTTGCTGAAGCACTACCTGCTCTTGAAGCTGCCTTGGCCGCTCTTAATACTTTAAAGGTATACAGCAGTTTCTAACTATTAACTCTGAATGATTGATTCATAGATTGTTGATTGATTCATTCATTTGTTCGTCAATTGATCGATTGACTGATTCAAAGAACGAATGGTTTGTTAATGTTTGTAGTATTACACTGCAAGTATTGAGGTGCCCAAACGAAGTTTCGCATCGCTTTATTTTCGCTGCGCGAGTTTGTCAGTCTGTCAGTTTGTTAGATCCTTCAAGTTGGTGTTTATTCCAAATTAGTATATTTAGCACTTGTTTTGCTCATGCTCAATAATGGCACTCCTCTCTGGTTTTGACTCAACAATAGACAACTTGCATGTTAGACAAATTTTTGATTTTGGCAAAAAAAAGTAAATTCCCGTAAAGAACTTATTAAAATCAGTAAAATTGCAAAATTTGGTTGCGAAATGTTGTAAAATGCAGAAAATAATTATAGCCTTGCTAAGTTTGCATATTTTCAGTATATTTGTATTACGTGCGAAAATTGTTACCATTTTAATATACTGAAAATATGCAAACTTCGCAAGGCTATATTTTCTGCATTTTACTACATTTCGCAACTGTAACGAAGCACTCTGAACACTTTAGATAAAGTTCTTTAATACTGATATCACAAACAAGCAACTTCTCCACAAAATATCTCTCACTATCTCACAATTATTTCAACTATAAAACTTACACACTTTTGTCTCTTTCGCCATGCGGTCATACTTCTAAAATCACATACTCCAAAAGGTACTTAAATTACATACTCCAAAAGACACTTCTTCACACTCCCCCCACCTAATATCAACATAACTATACTACTAAAATTTTCCTGGTCAACTCAACATAAAAGTACATATGAAATAGTTCAACAGTTCGATCGATAAAGTTCATAATACACTGTCTTAAACGTGTAACATTCAATTACTATAAAGTGTTTAACTTATCTGTTCAGTAATCCACAACAGGTATTCCATAACGATCTGGCATCCTTCGATTGCGTCTAAGGTTGTAACCATGCATCACAATAGCACCATCATCGTTTCTTTGAACATTCTGGCGTTCTTCAGGATTCGGCAGTATATTACCAATTTCACCAAAGTCACATTCAGAACTTTCAGTATCTTCACTTTCTTCGTAAACCTGATCAATATCATAGTCAATCGAAAATCGTTTTAAATTGTTCCCATGAACAATCTTTCTTGTCTTATTGGCTAGCGACTCTATCTCACAGCTAGTATCTTGAACATCAACAACTAGGTACGGCCCAACGTATTTTTCGTCTGATCCTCGAGCTCTAAAGTTCTTTAAAAATACCGTATCTCCAATGGTAAAGTCTTTGCTCCGGCATGCACGATTTCGTGAATCATAACAACGTTTCTGTTTCTTCTGGGACTGTTCGATTCTCTCCATTACGATCTTTCGCATGTTATTCTGTCGCTTCTTTAAATCGCGTAGGTACTTGGCGGGTCCATGAGTCGGTTTGGTTTCTAGTTCTTCAGGTTCTACTCCTAGAGGCAATCTGGGATCTCTTCCATACAACATTTCAAATGGTGATGCTCCGGTAGAAAACTGCTTGCTAACTCGATACGCTAGTAAAGTATGAGGTAGTTGCTCATCCCAATCGTCCTTATCATTGTTAACTCTCATTCGAAGGAGAGTCTTTAGAATTCCATTGAAACGCTCGCATAGTCCATCTGTCTGTGGGTGATAAGCGGTAGTTCTCCTCTTTTCTATCCCAAACAACTGACACATACTTGCTACTAGATTAGATTCAAAATTACGGCCTTGGTCCGTGAGCAAAACTGAAGGCATTCCATGCCTGGCAAACACTTGTTCCAAAGCTCGAAACTGAAGGCATTCCATGCCTGGCAAACACTTGTTCCAAAGCTCGAACTACTGTCTCCGCCTCTTGATTAGGAAGAGCTATTGCTTCTACATACTTCGTATAATAGTCAATAATGGAAAGGATATACTTGTTTCCCTGACGTGTTAACTTCAAAGGACCAATAAGATCTACTCCTATCATATAAAATGGCACTGGGACAATGTCAATTGGTTTCATAGGACTTCGAGGTCCTAGTACAACTTTGTTTCTCGCACAAATTTCACAGCTTTTACAAAATGTTTCTACATCTTTGTAAAATCCAGGCCAATAAAACCCTCTCTGAATAATTTCGAATGTTTTTGCTATTCCAAGGTGACCAACTTGCTGGTGGGCATCTCTCAAATTTGCAGGTGAAGCCAACTTAGGTACAACGATCTGTAACGTTTCTTCAAAGAACATTCTTTTCAACGACTAAAGATTCAAAGACATTGTACAACGCTTTCAACATCGGGCTGGTATCTTTTGGTTTAGCATCTGGTCTTAAACCATTCAATACCCATCTCCTTACCAACAGAATATCATCATCCAGGTTTTAAGTTTCTTCAAGTTCCGTCCACGACAATGTGGAAATTCGAATGCTGTTAACCGGGGCACGGGAAAGTGCATCAGCATGTTGCATCATATTACCAGGCTTATGTTCTATAGTGTAGTCGTACTCTTCCAGTTTCAAAATCCAGGGTGCCAGTTTACCATTTGGATGTTTAACGTTTTTCAACCACTTTAGAGCCTTGTGATCTGTATATATGACCACCTTTCGTCCGAGAGCCCAAACAACAGCGTATGCTTCTTTCTCTGTGGTAGTCCAGTTCTTCTCTGAACCTGAGAACGCTTTCGATGCATAAGATATAACTCTCTCCTCTCCCTCTCCATCTTCTTGTACCAAAACAGCTCCTACTCCTACATCACTTGCATCGGTGTATAGAATATAATCACCATTTGGTTCTGGGAATGCCAGAACAGGACTCGACATAAGTTGCTCTTTGATAGTTTGGAATGCATTTTCACAGTTCTCATCCCATACAAATGGCATGTCTTTCTGAGTGAGACGATTTAGTGGACTAGCAATGTCACTAAACCCAGAGATAAACCTGCGGTGGTACGAAGCCATACCAAGAAAGCGCCTTAACTCTGTCAGGTCTTTCGGAGTTGGATATCTGCTGATAGCTTCCACTTTCTTGGAATCTGGAGCCAAACCTTAATCTGAAATAGTAAAACCAAGTAAGTCTGCACTTGATTGTGCAAAATGACATTTTGAAGGTTTCAGTTTCAGTCCTGCTTTGCTGATTGCTTCTAGAACTGCTTCCAGATTCTCTAAATGCTGCTCAAAAGACCGACCAATGACCAGTACATCATCTAGGTATACAAGACGCCTAAGAGGCAAGAGACCTTCCAGAATGACTGACATAAGCCTTTGAAACGTAGGAACCGCATTTGTCAACCCAAATGGCATGCGTAGAAACTCCTCCGGGGATAACAAAAGCTGTTTTCTCTTGACTGGACTCTTCCATTGGAACCTGCCAGTAACCAGACGCCAAATCTAGCGTTGAGAAATATCTATGGCCTGATAACGAGTCAACCAAGTCAGCAACTTGGGATAAAGGGAATGCATCCTTTACGGTCACTTCATTTAATTTTCGAAAATCAATGCAAAAGCGCCAATCACAATCCTTCTTTCGCACCAAGACTATGGGGCTGGCCCAGGGTGAATTACTTGGCTTTATCACTTGGTTCTCTAACATTTCACTAACTTGTTCTTCTACAACAGGTCGAAGTGCATTTGGCAAACGCCGAGGCAACTGTTTTATGGGCACTGCATCTTGAGTTTCAATCTTATGCTCTGATACTGATGTAAGGCCTAACTCTCGTGAATTTGTGGCAAACATATCATTATGACTATTTAGCAAGTGTTCCATTCTTGTTTTTTGTTCTGGTTGCAAATGATCAAGTTGGAAATGGACATCATTGGGGGAATCTTTTGGTATAAGAATGGGATCACTCATCTCAACATCATCGACTTGTTGTAGACTTCCTACTTTCATCCCTTTATATAACTTAACCGGTTCTGTTCCTGGGTTTATTATCTGCATAGGAACTCTTTGTTCCTTTGGCTGAACAACAACTCTAGCAACTAAAACACCCTTTCCTGATAGTTTCATGTTCGGTTCCAAAATACTTTCAGAAATGGTAGGATTTCTTATTCGAGCTGTTTGAAATATTTCATGCTTTGCCGGGACTTCAATATCTTCATCCAAAACAACAGCTAAGGGCTCTGTCACACTCGAATCAAACACGGACAAGGGTTTAGTAGACAAATCAGGATATGTCAACACCATTCTTGAAAGGTCAGCGTTGACTTTATTACTCATTAGCCAGTCCAGGGCAAGAATAATCTCAGATATCATGTCACTAGCAACATAAAACTCATGGCATGATATTTGTCCAGGGTCAACTTTAACATTCAAGGCTGTCTTACCCAGAATCCCTATCGGGGAATTGTTTGCTGCCTCAGCAACGATATCATGCAGATGGTGTCAAAGAGGCATTGTTTCCCTTTAATAATTGCCACTCATTCTTGCTAATTAGTGAAATTGAAGCACCCGTATCAACAATACAAAGCTTAGATTTCCCATTTATCTGGGCTTCAACCATGAGGGTTTTCCTTTTGCTTGCTGGGGAAATTGTTGATAATCTTATCTTAGATTGTGTTTCGTTTTGCATGCAAGTTCGGTTTTGCTGGTTGTTCAAACGTTGATCTTGGCTTTGTACAGCATCCTTAGTATCGTCCAATACAGTCCGACAAAACTTGGCAATGTGACCTTCTTTGCCACAACGATAGCAAACTGGAGACTTTCTATTAGCTACATGCTTACCTCGACTGTTTTGCACATCACCTTGTCCTGGTTTGGAAATAAAACAGTTACGAGCTATATGTCCAGGCTTTTGACACAGATAACATACTTTAGGTGACAACTGAGTGTCTTGTTTGAAACTGTTCCTTAATGTAGGGCATTGTTTTGCAGCATGTCCAAATCCATTGCATGCGAAACATGTAACCACTTTACGCATAGAACTCACAGCTCCGATCATACTGTTATTGCCTGTACCCTGACCTTGCATAGCCAAAGTTTGCATGGTTGCATTTGCAGCTTCGAATCTTCTTGCAATCAATAAAGCATCATCCAAATTACTTGGGGGTTCTTGTAATAATTTACTCTGAGTTGTACGATCTCTCAGTCTAAGAATAAAAGACAAAAAGACACTTCTTCACACAACCAAATTTTGCAATTTTACTAATTTCATGATTTTCTTTTTAACTGTTGTGTTTGATTCCCTTCTCTTTACTTAGATTAATTTAGTCTAACATGCAAGTTGTCCATTTGAGCAAAATAATGCTATAACTCAATATTTTGAGTAAAAATTACTCAAATTCATTAGCAAATCTATTCAATTTATTGAGTAAAGCCACAGTTAATCGAGGACGAGAGTTGACGAAAGTTGATCAGAGTTTCGACTCTCACTGACATTTGACCGCCAACTCTCATCGTCGATGTACTCTCGCCAACTCTCATTGACTCTCGTGTACTCTCGCCAACTCTCATCGACACTCGTGTACTCTCGCCATCTCTCGTCGACTCTCGTGTACTCTCGTCAACTCTCATCGACTCTCGTGTACTCTCGCCAACTCTCATTGAACTCTCGTGTACTCTCATCGTCTCTCGTGTACTCTCGCCAACTCTCATCGACTCTCGTGTACTCTCGCCAACTCTCATTGACTCTCGTGTACTCTCGCCGACTCTCATCGACTCTCGTGTACTCTCGCCAACTCTCATCGACACTCGTGTACTCTCGCCATCTCTCGTCGACTCTCGTGTACTCTCGCCAACTCTCATCGACTCTCGTGTGCTCTCGCCAACTCTCATTGACCCTCGTGTACTCTCGCCAACTCTCATTGAACTCTCGTGTACTCTCATCGTCTCTCGTGTACTCTCGCCAACTCTCATCGACTCTCGTGTACTCTCGCCAACTCTCATTGACTCTCGTGTACTCTCGCCGACTCTCATCGACTCTCGTGTACTCTCGCCAACTCTCATCGACACTCGTGTACTCTCGCCATCTCTCGTCGACTCTCGTGTACTCTCGCCAACTCTCATCGACTCTCGTGTGCTCTCGCCAACTCTCATTGACCCTCGTGTACTCTCGCCAACTCTCATTGAACTCTCGTGTACTCTCATCGTCTCTCGTGTACTCTCGCCAACTCTCATCGACTCTCGTGTACTCTCGCCAACTCTCATTGACTCTCGTGTACTCTCGCCGACTCTCATCGACTCTCGTGTACTCTCGCCAACTCTCATCGACACTCGTGTACTCTCGCCATCTCTCGTCGACTCTCGTGTACTCTCGCCAACTCTCATCGACTCTCGTGTGCTCTCGCCAACTCTCATTGACCCTCGTGTACTCTCGCCAACTCTCATTGAACTCTCGTGTACTCTCATCGTCTCTCGTGTACTCTCGCCAACTCTCATCGACTCTCGTGTACTCTCGCCAACTCTCATGAACTTTGAACTGGTTCCAATTCTCATTTATAGTGTTGATGAGAGTTTTCGCTACGCGCGGTAATATCCATTCACTTGCATGAGAAAAGTCTCATGTAAACTCTCTCATCTTAACGCTCAGCAAGTCTCATTGTCGTTTGACCTAGGCTTATAGTTTCAAATTTACTTTACTCGAAATAATATTAAGTTTGAGTCATTTTACTTACTGAAATATTTTGAGTCAACGTGGGTGTTAGTATTACATGTATTTTACTCAGACAAGTTTTTGAGTCGAAATGTTCTGCAATGTAGCTAATTTAGTCCCTTACTTAAATGGTATTAACGTTTCCGTTATTTTTCATTTTAGCCATCAGATATAACGATTGTTAAATCAATGAAGAACCCTCCTGCAGGAGTAAAACTTGTTATGGCTGCCGTTTGTGTTATGAAAGATGTGAAACCTGATAAAATCAATGACCCTTCTGGAACTGGAGGAAAGATACTCGATTACTGGGGACCATCGAAGAAGATACTTGGAGATATGAATTTCTTGAATCAGTTAAAAGAGTATGACAAAGATAATATTCCGGTAAGTACACAGCAAAAAATCATTTTCTTATTTTAAGAAAAACAAAACTTATTTTAAGAAAATTTTAGAAATTTTGGGAGAATGCAAGAAAAATTTTCTCAAGATAATTTTCTTAAGATCTATTTTTTATATTAAGAATTTTCTTTAAGAAAAATCGGGATAAGAAAATTTTTCTAGAATTCTCCCAAGAAAATTTTTCTTAAGAAAGTGGTATAAGAAATTTTTCTTATTTCAAGAAAAATCCTATAAGAATTTTTTTCTTGAAATGTTCAAAAATATATAATTCTTATTTCTTACTAATAAATTTGTATATTAACATATATAGGATATTCTCATGGGGAATCGAATTCTATTTTAAAATGGTTAACTTTGAATATACTTTGAGTTGTTCAAAACAAGATTTAATTGTAAATGCCTTGCATAATATAGAAAATAAGATAATATAGATGAATTATAGCATGCACACAAATATATAACGTCACTGTTATTGACTGCAGTTCTATTGCAAGTCTGTTTTGAATTTCCTGTAACTGTTAACAACGGATTGAAATGGACCGGCGATATCTTGTGGCACATTAATGTCTTTGAAAATATACTGGTGTAAAATAATTAGGCATTTCGTGATAACGAGGATAGTCGAAGTCTAAAAGATAAAAACTTGTCAGCAGAGCAAGCACTCCCTCATCCAGCCTGGCTTCATCCATCTCTACATACAATAATTGCTTTGTCAATTATTAAATAGCACCTTCTCTTTTCCACCAGGAGGACAGGCACATTTCCACTGCTCTTGGAACACCAAACATCAGGGTCTTCATGGTCCTTACAAAGCAATCACATGTATATTTATAAGAAACAGTAGAAACTACAGCACATCCCCCAATAATTTCTCAAAGCCTCTAAATGATAGCTGAATAACTGTGTAACACTAACAAAGCTGCAACAATTTTCAACCATGCATGAAAGGATTGTTAGGCTATAGACTAAGCTATCTTTGAGAGGACGTGGTGTGAATGTAACCACACCACCCCTAAAAATCAAACGTCTATTGAATAATAACATCATCATTTGTGAAGTGTCCGCCACGGCCACTGCGCTCAGGATCATTTTAGTAATAACAAAACAAACCTTTAGTTGGTGTATCAAGTCCATTAGTTTCTTTGTTCGCTTCTTTGTGCCAAAAATTAAATGCAAATTCTGGAGGACATGCATGATCTCAACAGTTTTTTAACTGTTTCTCAAAGTATATTAATAGGCTTTGCATTCATTTATAAAAACTAGAGTTGGTTGGACTAACAATGTCAGATGACACCACTGGAGTCGTTTAAAAGGCGTTTAAAGTATAGGAACGTGATTATAATTGTATACTTAAAATTGAACAATTTAGATGCAAGACCAAGCCATGAATTTTCTTCATTTGAAAAGAAGTATAGGAGGCAACTTATAAGTCTTCAACCAATAAGACAATGTTTAGTGTTTGGTAAATATTCATAAGTGTTGTCATGGTAATGAACTATTTATATAATTATACCATATGTGCACTTCAGGATTGTCATTCCAACTATATCATCTGTTGTAAATATTTGTTATGTTCAATTCTTCAGAAGAGGAGGTCAATTACGAAGTCGGACGATGGAGTTCTTTCATTTCATCAACCTGATATTCATATTTGTTGTGAACGTATTGCTCTTTTTCTCAGGAATATGTTTCAATTCCTTGGTCATACTCACTTTCTGGAGGTCTGCACAACTTCGAAACAAAATATGTCATCCACTGACGGCTCTTCATCGGTCAAAACTAGCATAACAAAAATTTGTACGATTAGTGTCAGGATTAGGATTAATGGACCATTTGCATTATAGACTAAATTTTGATCTAGACAGAAATTTCATCACAGCTTGAAAGAGCATCACAAAATTAGTAATATTCCAAAGTTTCGTTGCGAAATGTTGTAAAATGCGGATAATATAGCCTTGCGAAATTTGTAATTTTCAGTCATTTTCTATTACAAACGGGAAATTGATGCCCCAACACCCGATTGGGCTGTCAATTTCCCGTGCGTAATAGAAAATGACTGAAAAACGGCAAACTTCGCATGTCTATATTATCCACATTTTACAACATTTCGCAACGAAACTTTGGAATATTACTAATTTTGTGATGCTCTTTCAAGCTGTGATGATTTTTGTCTAAATCAAAGTTTAGTCTATAATGCAAACGGTCCATTAATGTTAGGATTAATGTTAGAATTAATGTTAGGAATGGGATTAATGCTACGATTACGAGTAATGTTAGGATCAATGTCAGGATTAATGTTAGGATTAATATTAAGATTAGGATAAAGATTAGGATTGGGATTAATGCTAGAATTAGGATTAATATTAGGATTAATGTTAGGATTACGATTAATTTTAAGATTAGGATTAATGTTAGGATTTACGATAGGAAATCGTCCCAAACAATTTAGATGCAACACCAAACCATGAGTTTTCTACATTTGAAAAGACGTGTAGGAGGCACCTTAACGTAAAATATTCATAGAAGTGTTGTCATGGTAATGAAGTATTTATATAATTACGCCACATGTGCACTTCAGGATTGTCATTCTAAATATCATCTGCTGTCTATATTTGTTATGTTCAATTCAGAAGAGGAGGTCAATTACGAAGTCGCACGATGGAGTTCTTTCATTTCATTAACCTCATATTCATATTTGCTTTGAATGTATTGTTCTTTTTCTCGGGTATATGTTTAAATTCCGTGGTCATACTCAGTTTCTGGCGGTCTGTGCAATTTCGAAAGAAATTATGTTATTTCATGATAATGGTTTTGTCTTGTTGCGACTTGCTTGTGGTTTCAACTAATCATCCGCTGATGGCTATTTCACGATGTTATTCCTGACTGGAAAGTGGGATGTATACCCTGGCTGGGCGGTCATTTGCTCAAATTTCGCAGGTGTTTTCGTTGGTTTTTCTTTACTCGCTCTTTTGGTCATGACTTTTGATCGATATTTGGCGACATCTTATCCTATCTTTCATCAAACATCGGTAACAAAGGGAAAACTTTTAACTCTTCTTGCAATACTGATTACCCTGGACGTAACCCTGCTGCTGATATCTTTCAACGACTTCGTTATTCCCTTTGAAGTTGGTCTTCTAATATTTATTATCATTATCTTTCCTCCAATGTTGTTCATGAACTACAAATTGTTCGCAGTCGCCAGGAAAAGTCGTAGACACCATGGAATATCGCCCGAGACGAAAACTATATCGAGTTGCTTGCTGACAGTAGCTTGTTTCTTGGTGCTAAACATTCCAACGTGCGTCTATATTGGGCTAAGCATAACCTCGAGAGAAACAGTATTTACTTCGAATAACGCAATCCTTGCAGAATTCTGGTCTTCAACCATAGCTGCAATGAATTCAACATGTAATTGCTTAATCTTTTTCTGGAAAAACGAGATTTTACGCACCGCGGGAATGAAAGTTATTAAAAGCGTGAAAATATGTCGAACAGTCCAATCCTAATCTGACGATACTGAACAAAGTAGAAAATAGTTGAGAAACGAAAAACAAGGAAAATAGATTTGGCTTAGAAGGATGATCATGAACGGGTAAAGAAAACAAAAATTTAGACAAAATGTGACAACAGTAACACATGTATGTATAATTGTCAGATGGCAGCTGCTTATATAATACGAGATAACTGAAATTATACTCTTTCATTTCAAAATGAAAATGATCAAAGGCCGTAAAATTCCTCCTAGTAGTTTTTAATAATTTAGTAAAACTGCACTATTATTCCATTAACAAGTGCTCTTTGTTTGTGCACCAATGATGGAACGGGAGGAACAGTTTAGAACTGATGTACAATAATGTTATGACGCGCGTGGTTTAAAGGTGCAACTACTTGAGATGAAACTTCGACCGCCTCTTTGTCAAAATTTGTTCTATATTGTGTTACATGATAAGCGATATCATGTAATTTTACATAAATTAAATGTTATTATTATATATCAATAGTCAAAGTCGCATTTTTCTAGTGTTTTATTGGTTGAGAGCATATCACGTGAGAGTGACGAAATTAGGCTGTCTCCCTCGCAACAGCGCGAGAGGGAGATAATACATTATCGACCGGCGAATAACAAAAAAAATCATGCGCGCCATCACGTGAAGATGCGACCTTTGGACATGCCTAGTACGTAATTAAAACTTTCGCTTTAAGTAACTGCAGTGTAGCCAGTGTTTAGTATAACGTTTTAACAATAAAATATTTCATGTATTTACGTTCTTTTGTTCTTTAATTTGTTGTTTCTTTGACTATTGATATATAATAAAACACTTATTTACTGAGATCTCGGGAAAGCAGTGTGTTTTGTGGACCCTCGACGGTCTCGGGTCCACAAAACACACTGTTTCCCTCGGTCTCAGTAAATAAGTGATAATTATCTTATACTTATATTATTAATTAAAAAGCTTACATGCATGAGTAAGCTAATAGTTTAAAGATTAAGATGTCCCACATCTAACGTAGCGGACATGCCTCGGCTTGGCGTTGGTCAATTTGTGGTTTACTCAAACTTGCTTTAACGAACTGATTTGAATGAAATGAGTCGTAGTTTTCTTGTTTCTTCCCCTAGCAGAGCGTACAAAAGCCTGGGCACAACTAGACAATTCATGCATTATTCATAAGCCGAAACCCTGCATTTATAACATCCCCGTGAAGATATAGAAACTATCAGTTAAAGAAAGAATTAAAAGGATTATACAAAGGCGAAGATATTAAAGATAAAGAATTGTCAGGAATTGAGGGCTACATTATCCGCATTTTACAACTTTTCGTAACGAAACTTTGGAATATTACTATGATGCTCTTTCAAGTTGTAATGAAGTTTTTGTCTAGATCAAATTTTTTTGTTCATTAGGGAATAGGTCCATTGAACCATGTTTAATGCAATAATGGACATTCTTATGGTCTCACTAAGACGAAGATTGACGAGTTGAGCTTATTTTAGATAATTTACATTCAATTTTAATTCCCTTTTGGGAATTTTTTATGTTTCGTTTTCCATGCAATTCCCAACAGTGGAAGAATGTGATTTCGGCCGGCAATTTTTATTTGACGAGAATGTGGCCAGTTCTCATCGTTACGATTTAAAAAGAGTATATCATTGGACATTGAAAAGCTAAATAACTGTTCTTTCGTCCTATGTAAAAATTGAATTGTTTAGCCGCGTTTATGATGCACGACAACATGTTGAATTTCCATAGCGTTTTTTTAGACACCCTGTATAAGACTATAACTAAGAAAATAAACTATAGTCAAGGACCGGCTCATAACAATTGGCATAAATTAAGTTAGTTTGGCTCAAGTTGCTTTATTACTGCAATGGAGAAATAATGAATGGTCCTAACTGTAACAGTTTAGAACTGATAGAACTTGCAAGTATTTATGCATAATTAAGATAATGTAGGTCTCCTGTGGTAACAGTACTGAACCAACATGAAACGGCTATAATTGTAACATCGTCCTCAAGGGAGGACAGTACTATAACAGTTTAGAACTGACAGAGCTATCAAGTATAAATAAAGTTAGATCATTATAGCTTTTTTAACCACTATAGTCTTAGTTTAAGACACGATTTTCATATATGCTTTACTTTGTTGCAAAGTCGTGCTTAGCGTTGGATCAACTGTTTAGTGTATAATTAAAATATATTAGGGAGCTTAAGATCTACAACGCGAATTTGTGACGCGGACGTGCTTACCTTGTTATATCTTCAAAATTGTTATTTATTTCACGAGTGTAAGCCTAGTCAGAGTTGTCACAGTTTATTTCTGCGAGATTTGTGACACTGTTATGACACGTTAACAGCCATACGAAATGATAGAAACCAGGCTTTATAGACTATTGTTACGAATGCACATTTTCCCGCCAAAACTACCATCCGAGACGACGTGATATTTGCAAAGATTCGTCGTCATAGAAGTCGTAAAAACTTATGATAAAAAACATCTTCTTAATATATTGCTAGCCTCTGTTATGTTGTACATTTTTTCCAGTATAATTTCATTTTATTTACTGTGATTAAAATATTTTAATGGTATTTGCCATCGTTTTAAAATAAAACTTGTTTAATGCGACGTCCGCGTCGTAAGTTCGCGTTGTAGATCTTAAGCTCGCTGTTGTTTGCTCGCGCCTGCGTTCAAGGCATGAGAGCCTGCGTTCATGCGTGATTAGTCCAGCGTATGCTCCTGGCATATCGCGGCAAATTTTAATGCTGTTTTCATCGCATTTTGTAAACCAACTTTCTAAGAACATTCTCTCATCCTCAAAACCATTAAACTCCATACAAGTGGCTCCCTCCCAATCAATTCTATGATTTGATTCCATATGATGAACCGCAATTCTATTCGCCACGTCTTGTTTCTCTGTTGATCGCTTATGTTTTTTAATGCGACAATCTAGAGTACGTCCAGTTTCACCGAAATAAGTTGCGGGGCATTCAGCACAGGTCACTTTATAAACTGTTCCTATCCGGGTCTTTGTATTGGTTGGATCTTTCACTTTCGTTAAGGTATTTCTTAGCGTTACCGTTGGTTTGTGAGCCACACTGATGTTGAAAGGTCGTAGGATTCTTGCAATTCTTTCGGATGTACTTTTGATGTAAGGGATGGTGGCAATGGTCTTCTTCCGTTCAGTTTCGTCGGTAGTTGATGTTGTTTTCCGGGAATGTTCAATTACGTTGTTCACAAAAGGTTTAGAATATCTGTTGATGGTAAAAATTTTATCAAGGTGCTGCAACTCATCTTCGAAGGTTTCACTAGAACTGCAAACTGCATGCGCTCTCTTCACTAAGGTTGCTATTGTAGCTGACTTGTGCGAGGTTGGGTGGTAGGATGAATTATCTAATAAACGGCTGGTGCTGGTGGGTTTTCGATAGATACTCGCTTGAAGGGAATTGCCGTCTCTGGTTATCATGCAGTCTAGGAAAGCTATCTTACCATCTTTCTCAGGTTCCATGGTGAACTGTAGACTGGGGTTTTGCTGGTTGAGGTGGTCAAGAAAGTCGTTTTTCTAAGGTTTATCGACACTCGTCAAGGTATCGTCGACGTAGCGAAAGCATTGTCCTGGGTATGAGGACAATGCTCGTTCTTCTAACTATTGCATTACAATCTCTGCTACGACTACGGAAACTGGAGATCCCATTGCTGTGCCATGAAGTTGTTGGTAGAAACTTCCGTTGTACTGAAAAAATGTAGACTCTAAACATAATTTGAGTAGGTCTATGATCTCTTCCTTCTGGATTGGAAGTTCATCATCATAGTTAGCTAAGGACTCTTCCATGCACTCAATTGCTAGTTTTAATGGAATACTTGTGAATAAAAACTTAACATCAAAGGAGACCAGTTCATGAGTGGCACTGATCGTCTCCGCTTGAATTTTCGTTATGAAATCTGCGGAATTCACGAGGCGGTGTTCCGAGCGCTCTGTTAAAGGCTTCAAAATGCGTGCAAGATATTTTGAAAGTTCATATGTTGGTGATGAACAAAACGACACGATTGGTCTCATAGGTGTATTCTCCTTGTGAATTTTAGGCAAACCATACAGTTTTGGAGCTTGCGCATCCTATGCATATTGCATACTATATTAATAAACAATATGAGAGAATAAGAGATAAAAAAAGGACGCTTTGGAATTATTTTTATTTATAACTTTTCAAACTATAAATACAAGCAGATAAATAAGTTAATTTAAGAATAAAAATATTCATAACATTTGTATAAAAAATTTAACTGGTATAACACAATCTCCTGTATATTGTTGAGTTCATTAATTAAAATAGACTAATCAAATGTTAATGTCAGTTGTTTATGTATACAACTCTAAGGTTTATTACGCCTATTTTAGGGATATATATATATATATATATATATATATATATATATATATATATATATATATATATATATATATATATATATATAAGTTAATCACTAACACATATTTTTTGACGTTTCGACTTTATTGTCTTCTTCCAAGTAAAAATCGTTAACATAAACCCCTACTTATATACCCTACCAGACGAACATAATTATTCATACTCCTCAGAATCCTGTTCAATATTCAACCCCGAGGGGTACATTGTCATAAGTCTATTAATCCAGTACATTTCCCTAATCGTTGGTTCTGCTGGGTTGGTTTTATCAATTATGACTATATCACAGTCATTCATTAAGCCATTATGGTTTTCACCTAAGAAATGCGAATGAAAAAAGGCTTGTGTATGAGCTTTGGTGGACATTGCTTTCCTTTGACAAGATTTATAATTGTTCCATCGAAAGCGGAATTTATCTGTCGTCTGACCAACATATTGCTTCTTACACACTTTACATGTCAAAAGATAAACCACACACTTTGAGTCACAGTTTAAATGATGGTTCACTTTGTATTGTCTACCATCAGCTGTGCACCTAAAAGTGTCGGTTTCGTGAATATTTTGACACGTCAAGCACCTGGGTTTATTACATTTCTTACATCCTTTCTCTCTTACTAATGGTGGTACCTTAGCTCTAACTAAGTAACTTCTTAAATTACGGCTTGTTCTAAACGCCGTAAATGGTTCAAGGGTAAATACTTTACGAGCTTCAGTGTCTAAGTACAAAATATGCAAACTTTTCTTAATTACTAAACCAAAGTGCTTTAACAAAGGATGGAAAGCTATAGTTAAAGGCACTCCTGTCTTACAACTTTTTTCTCTAAGTATATTATTACTTTCCGCTTCAATATTGTATTCCCTGACCCTCTTAAATTCTCTTTCTATGAGCCATGTTGGATATGCTCTATTTTTAAGCCAACTAGACAGTTCTTGTAAGTGTTTCTCAAAATCCTCTTCACGCGAGCAAATTTTCTTGATGCGCAAACCCTGACTATATACGATAGATCTTTTAACGTGCGCAGGGTGTGATGACTCATAATGTAGATATTGATGGCAATCAGTTGGCTTACAAAAAAGACTTGTAATAAATCTACCAGCATCAATTCCCACCGAAACATCAAGAAAATTCACTTTAGTCTGCGAGTACTCGTATGTAAATTTCAAGCCAGGATGGAACGTATTAAGTTTTTCCATAAACTGCAACAGTTTATCTTCACCTTCTAACCAGACAAAAAAGATGTCATCAATATACCGTAACCACACCCAAGGTTTTATTTCTTGTTGTTCTAAAAACTCAGTCTCCACCATATCCATAAAAATACATGCATACTGTACGGAGGAGCAAATTTTGTGCCCATGGCTGTCCCAGAAATTTGACGATAAACATATACATATACAGGGTGTATAAAAAAAAGGTAATCGAACTTCAGCGCGCTATTATACGTGAATTACTCGGGGTATGAACAATTGGTTTTCATATTCGGAAAGATCAGGCTTTTAGCTATTTATTAACATGCTTTTCCTGCCAAGGGGAGAAAAAATAAGCATGTAGCCCTACGAGGCCGATTAAAAATGTTAGTCAAACTCGCATATTTTCACCTCTGTGCCTAATTAAAACAATGCATAACAAAAGAAAAAGCAATTAATCACAAACGTTGATTCTCTGGAAGAGCTCCAAAGTGTCATTAATTCTGAATTAGAACGTCTTAAAAGCTGGCTTATTACAAATAAGCTCAGTTTAAATATTGCAAAAACAGAGTTTATGACAATTGGATCTCGACAGAGAATCAATACTACTCAAGGAGTCAAGGTAGTATAACCATTAAGCTTGATGGTATTGAAATCAACAAAGTCGATACTGTTAAATCCTTAGGAGTACATATTGACAAACACCTTTCTTGGTCAACCCATATAGAGAAAATGACTAAGAAAATTGCTTCAGCCATTAGTGCATTAAAACGTATTGTAAGTACGAGAACAGCTGTTCAGGTTTATCAAGCCTTGATACAACCTCATTTTGACTACTGCTGCTCGGTCTGGGACGGTTTTGGAGAAACCCTCAGTAATAAAATACAGAAACTACAGAACCGAGCAGTAAGAGTCATTACGAGGTCGCAATATGATACAAGCGCTAGTTCTATTTTGAATAATTTGCACCTAGACAATTTTTGTTTACGACGCAAAAAGATTAAGGCTGGCGTTATGTTTAAAATAATCAATGGTGATGCCATCTTACCTACAAAATCTCTTCTCTGTTCGCGGCAGTGGGTGTAACTTAAGAGACTCTGAAATAAAGCTAAATTTACCTAAGCCACGAACTAACTATTTAAAACGAAGCCTTTGTTACAGTGGAGCCTTATTGTGGAATAAGCTACCTCAAAATATACGAATGCTTCGTTCGTTACCACTATTTAAGAATTCCTCAAATTATTACTATAATTTGTAAAATGACTCCCACACGGCAATCTTGGAAATCAGTTGTAATTATTTTTTTTAATACTTAATTAATGTACTGAAGATTTTACCGTGTTAAAATAAAGTTTTATTGTATTGTATTATATTTTGTATTGTATTGTATTGTATTGTATTGTATTGTATTGTATTGTATTGTATTGTATTGTATTGTATTGTATTGTATTGTATTGTATTGTAACGCGTCGTAGCTTGGCTAAGATTTATTCCTACTTAAATAATAATTATGAATATGTGTGCAGTTTAATGAAGTGAAATTCATCAACTTAAGTCCTAAAGGGGGTTCATTTCAATGGTTTTAGACCCAACTCTCAACGGTGAAAATATGTGATTCTGACTAACATTTTTTATCGGATTCGTATTTGCTCATTTTTTATCCATTTGGTATGAAGGAGATATCATTCAACAGCTAAAAGCATGATCTTTCCGAACGTGAAAAACTCTCGTTCATACGCAGAGTAATTCTGATACAATAGCGCGCTGAAGTTCGATTACCTTATATATATATTATATATGTATATGTATATATATATATATATATATATATATATATATATATATATATATATATATATATATATATATATATATATATATATATATATAATATACATATATATATATATATATATATATATATATATATATATATATATATATATATATATATATATATATATATATATATATATATATATATATATATATATATATATATATATATATATATAATGTAGGCGCTTTTGATGTTCTTACGAGTATGACTCGGGCAAGCAGAAAATTAATTCTACTTGACCACGGCTGGGAATCGAACCCACGACCTTCGCATTTCTAGAACGACGCTCTACCTTCTGAGCTACAAGGTCAAGTTGGAAACGATGTTATTTTTTTGTGAATGACATGAACGAATCTCTTCTTTTTCATGTTTTTGAAACAAAAATATTTAGTTGTCGATAAACTGTAAATCGCCTAAATAATCGTCGAAAACTGTGGCTTCAAAAACGTTGTCTCAAGCACAAGCAACGCAGAAAAGTATAAAAAGTAGTTGTGTCAGTTCAATATATATGTTATAAAACAGTTGAAATATTTTTAGAACATACCTATTGAATCCGAGTTAGACTTGATCTTTCGTGTTTTGTTTTGGACAACAACGTTGAAAATATATTTTTAAACGACGATTTCTGTATATATCCTGCATGTTCAGAACTATCGCTCTTCGTAAAAAAAAACACTGGAATGGGTCTTCACTTTTTTTCACTGTAAGTCTCGATATAATTGTTTTTGCAAACTTTGTTGAAAAAAACAAATCGCACTCCCTGCAACCGCGCGAAATTCTTTGCCGCAGGAGTCTGGGACTAGCCAAAATGCCCTTATATATCCGCCATTTTGTGGAGACAAAATTTTTACTGAGAAAAGATAGGAGTACGCATTCTATGTCTATTATTTCTATGCTATGAACATACGCAACTGTGCGAAATTGTTTTTAAAGATTTTTTACCTTCTAATTAAAAAGACATTCCTTTGGTATCGGTTCAGGCTGCGAGCGGGTTATGTCCACACCACTTTCGTAAAATGTATGTCTCATTATGTGAAATATAAAACAACGGTAACTCCGAAAATAGACATTTTAATACTCTAGCTTTCGACTAAGATTCAGTCATCATCAGGAATGATGCTAGGTTACATTACATCGATATATATAGTGAAGATTAAGTAATTTGATATGTACAGAAAAAATTAGTTAAATATTATAAGTTCTTTTTGACGCCTTATAGTTCCGTGATTAAGTTCAGGTTAATTTAAGGCGTCTAATGGCAAGTGCTTCTTTTTAAAATAGCAATAAGGACAAATGATCAGATCTATCTATAATCTTAGAGTTTGTAAATATAAATTCTGAAAGTATACAAGTTTGAGTGCAGATTTATTGTCCAATGAGTGTTCTTTGATTCTGACGTGGAAACAGCGATCAAAGAACAATTCACTGGACAATACATCTGAACCACATCACATCATGCGAACACTTTCAACATCTATTTTTAACTGTATCCTGACGAAGAAACTAACCCAACTCAAACTTGTATACTTTCAGAATTTATATTTACAAACTCTAAGATTATAGACAGATCTGATCACTGGTCCTTATTGCTATTTAAAGAAACACTTGCCATTAGACGCCTTAAACCTGAACTTAATCACAGAACTTAGGCATCAAAAGAACTTATAAGATTTAACTAATCTTTTCTGTACATATCAAATTACTTAATCTTCATTATATATCGATGTAATGTAACCTACATGTAGCATCATTCCTGATGATGACTGAATCTTAGTCGAAAGCTAGAATATTACACACGTTTTCAAAATTACGCGATCAAGGACGAAAATGCTAGAGTTGACATGTCAGTTTTATGTCAATCGGTCACGAAGTTTAAACTTTCAGTTTTGCGGTTCCTTGTCGATGTATATGCTTTGTATGCTTTATATAAACAGGCTTACAATGATTTTCAATATATTTTAGTGAGAATTATTGCAAAATTTAAGCACAAACAAAATCATAACATCACCGTTATAGTCTAGCGCGCGTGTTTTATACTGACAGCTAAATTCCAGGATAATATAAATTGTTATTTTTCAAACTTTACTGAAAGTTATTCACGGCACATATTTCTGTTGTGATGGTTTGTATTGTGCTTTAGTTTGTATATCTAAGTTATCTAACTCATTTTTATCAGTTTTGGTATTAAATACGGTTAAAAATGTCTTTTGAAAGTTTGTTTACGTTTCAGCTATTTTTAGCAGTTTTTGTGACATAAAACTGACATTTGAAGTAAGAGTATTTTTCAGGGAGGTCGCATAATTTTGAAAACGGGTGTAAAATGTTTATTTTTGGAGTTACCGTTATTTTATATATTTTTTTAAATACTCAGTGGTTCCCGTAATTCTGTGAACGGAATCGCGTAGTTGTTGAAAGGGGCAGAATAAGCGAGAGGGGACATCATTTGCGACGCGGATAGTGCCCGAGTGGAACTCTTTTGGGGGGACGGTATCGCTGTGACACAGGCTTTCTAATAATCGACCAATAATCGGCAATTTTTGCGATAACAAAAAATGGTACGTACATATCATCATGTGAAATTAAATGCATGTTGCTATTTGGTGTGGCTATGAACTAACAATTCAAATATTGAATACATATTAATTCTACTTTGATGTTAATCCTGACCTGATAAAGTGGAAACAACCAGCGTCCTCTTTCCTGTTTCTGGATATTTATAAATGGAATGTATAACTGTTCCTGTTACAATGCCAGCTACACCTAGTATTGAGAAACAAAATTTACATTATAGAGCAGGATCAACTCAGACAAAATGTCTTACAGGAAAACAGGTGGGGCGAGGGGCATAAATTGTAGAGGGATCCAGAGGCATCTTTCCTCCAGAAAATGTTGAAATATGGAATCTCTGAGATGTAATTTCCTGCGATCTGCGGGACGATTTGACCCGCATTTTGTTTGTTTTGCATTTCTGGCAGCGAAGAATCAGACACCTTCATATTCAATTTTCCCACTCTGATCTTTTTTTTTGGGGGGGAGTGGTTTTGAGGTTAATAGGCCATATGCCAAGTCATGGGTGACGTCATAAATAATTATCATAATTACAAAGCGATATTAATGGTTTTTGTATCTGCGAAGCAGATATATATGCTATCGCAAACGTGCCGTGACCGTACCGTACCGTATCCCTAGCCATTCAGCGACGGGCTTATATAATTCAGCCAATATATGCCAATTTAAGCCAATCAGCGATTCGTTTACATCAATTGTTTACATCGTGCCCGCTGATCTAACCTGCGAACGGGCATACTTTAGCCTCGTCAGGCCTCGTGTATAAATCGTGTTTTATATTCTTTCAAAAATATCTTGATATTTTTATCAATTTGTCTTGAATTGGCTGTCTTTTTTTTATTCCGAAGTTATTTATCAACATGGAATCTTATCCTCATCTGGTAAGTAGTCAAATACCACATATTATATATTTAAATACCAAATTTGTGCAAATATATGTCCCACATATTTTATAATACATGAGTTCGCCAGTTCGGCAAATATTTACTATACTATCTATAGTTAAATATTGCCGTATCTTCGGCGTAGAGTTTACATGGAATGCACTCTGGAATTTTTTAATTAATATATTACACTGTATAAAATATTGGATATTTTCGAGGATATTTTAAGCCATTTATCAACATAGTTCACAAAAAGATTTATACAGTATCAAAAACAAACCTTCTGTGACTTCTGTAATATTTTAAACAGTGAAAACATTCTCAGGAGATATTGAATTAAATCCTGGTCCTGTATTTCTGTATATTGACTCCATAACTCTGTTCAAAACAACAGTCCAACTATAAAGCTGTCATCAAATGTAGTGTTAGAGCAAAGGTTGAAGATGTTATCAGTTAAAATACTTATACATTTTGGTTTTACACATTAGAGTTAATTAAACAAAATTTTTACAAAATTTTCAAATAAAAGAATCCTCACCCTCCCGAGCCTCATTACATTGTCATTTTGCTTTCTATCATAAATATTTTTCTTTAGAGATTAATACAAGAATGAAGAATAAATGTACTGGATATTGGCTGGATAATTTTGTCAGAACAATCAACTTGCCAGACAATCTTACCTTAAATTCATTAGTATGGAAAATAACTTAACAGCTATACAATGAGTAATCATATATTATATGGTGGATTTGATCAATGGCACACAATGTACAAAACTAAACTTGTGATACCTTCTACTCAAACCGATAATCTCCCACAACACGATTGTTTTTGTGTGAATGTGCTGTACGTGTTAAACCGAACAGTGTGGTATATCATTAACTGTGCACAGAACTGGAATTTAATTATATACTTCACTCATGACCTTCAAAACATTCTCAATTATTCAGTGGTCTTCGACATGTTCACCAAATATTTTGTGTATGTTACTCAACAGTTAACATTGGCAAGTGTAAACAACAAGTGACATAACTTTTGCTTCATATGATTACAATAAAGTTTTGAAAATTTGATGAGTATGGATTGAATTGACAGGTGACAGTTTACTAAATAGCCGGCTGTATAGACACTTTGAATATTGTTTGCATGAAATTTTTATTTCCTGACTGCATAATTATCTGTTACAATCATAATCACATTATAAAGTTAGTTAAATTTTCTCGGTGCGGGGGGGTTTTAAATCTTATCTGCCATTATAAGTGATGAAATATTTCAATTGTCCCATGTCATCTTCATTATTCAGTTTCTTTCAAGAAAATACAAAATGTGAATCAAGTTTTTTCGCAGATACATGTACGCGTCGCGTACCTATTTTTATGTATTACTGTTGGTTTCGAGACTAAGCTGTAGGGGTTTTCTAGGTCTTTAGGTGTGTCTAGGTCTCTGAGGCTCTAGGTCTCTGGGTTTCTAGATCTTTGGTTTTCCTGGTCTGTCGGTTCCTACAGTAGGTCTCTGGGTTTCTAGGTCTCTGTGTTTCTAGGTCTCTGTGTTTCTAGATCTCTGCCCTTTGGGTTTCTAGGTCTCTGTGTTTCTAGGTCTCTGTGTTTCTAGATCTCTGCCCTTTGGGTTTCTAGATCTCTGGGTTTCTAGGTCTCTTGGTTTCTAGGTCTCTTGGTTTCTAGGTCTCTTGGTAGCTAGGTCTCTGGCTTTCTAGGTCTCTGGCTTTCTAGGTCTCTGGCTTTCTAGGTCTCTGGCTTTCTAGGTCTCTCGGTTTCTAGATCTCTGGGTTGCCAGGTCTGTGGGTCTCTAGATCTCTGGGTTTCTAGGTCTAATACTTTTTGGGGTCTAATATTTCATGTTAAATCAATGTTTCGCAAATTTGCAGCATCATTACATGCATGTATTTGTAGTTTTACCACAGGGAGCCCAGCAAATATATATACTCACTTAAAAATGTTTAAAAGCTAGAAAATGTGTATAAAGTTTGCCTGACTTTGTTATTCAAGCGATGTATTGTGTAGCTTATTATGTACTATGCAGATTCAGATCTTTACGTCATTGTATTATCATATAGTATTATATCCTAAGGCTAGCAACTTTAATACGTTCGCTTGAAACAACAAAAATAAACACAAGTTTCTGATAAAAAACAGATATAAAGCATCTTGGATAGATTTCCTTGGATATATATTAACTTTATTGATACGTTTTAGAGTTGAAACATATTCAGAAATCCTCATCTATATGAATTGAGATACGTAGACAAAAATGATATAATATGTGAACATTTATTATACACAAAACTAAACATGGTGCCAAGTCGTTAAAATGTAAACATGTACTCATTGTACTGTTGCACTGCATGTTTTCAATTTATATATAGGTGAGAGTTAATAGTTGACAAGCTTTTTTAGAAAATATATTATACTCTAAAATGGATCCATTACATTTTGACAAAATAATATATCTCATCTGTGCTTTGATAAATACATTTGATCTGTGCTTATATCCCAAGAATGCTTGCAATTCTTCAGGGTCTTGCTGTAGCAGGTGTTTGGGGGAGGGCATGGCAGATATGAGGCTCTGTGAAACAGGACAACAGGTTGATATTTGCTGGGCTGTCTATGGTGTTAGCCTGGCACAGCAAGCTGTATTTGCAGTCTGAAAGGGCAGCAAGAGTTTAAAATATAGCCTGGCCAAAAACCTGTTGTTTGTCTATACTGCCAACCGAGATTGTTTGTTTGAGACAATTAATGCATCTATAGCAGAACTGTGTTTTTCTATATGCTTATGGGTATTCTCTTCAATCATTCTCCCACACAATCTACAACAACAGCCACACTGCGGTGGTGAATCACACTAGTAGGCCTAGTACTTATGATTTTATCCAAAAAGTTTGTTCAAATAATGCTTTCTCCGCCATGCAGTAAATAAATTGCGGTGTTGACTTAACTACATTGCGGCAAATGTTTTGTTGGTTAGTTCGACTACTGTACAATTCAGCAACTATAATAGGAATGATTTGGTCCTCAATAATACTCTTCAATGGCTAAACTATGATGAGTCAATGAACAATCGCCTGTAGCTAGTCAATGTTTATACAATAACGTGTTTTTTTACCGAAACCAGATATCATTTATACATCTTTACAAATGTTCAATTGCTAAATGTTGTTTCTTCTTTGGAATAATTAAATAATTTGGTGCTTTCTGAATTCTCCCAAAGTTCGAAGCCATTTCTTGTTTAATTTAATTAACACATTATATCATATAGCTGTTACTATACATGCATTCACATGTAAACAGATCCTTTGCCGTCAATCAAGCAAAATAATTGACCAATCAGAATTTTTCGTCCACTACTGCAGGGTGTTAGCCAGAAAAGTTTTGTCCGTTAAACGTAAATTGGGAAAGTTTTTTTGACCGATCAAAGTCCTTGTGTAGGAATAAATAGTGTTTTTTTTCCAACGTGTTTCTCCTTAGATGCAAACAACGGTAGCTTGGTTTTGTACATCTCATTTCCTGTGAATTAGTATATAGGTAATCATTCGATGGCAAGTACAATTAGGGATTAATAGTACGAGTGATGCTTGTGATGTTACTCTGAGTGTATAAATTATCCACACCGGGAAGGCGTGAAAAATATGCCTGGCCACGGTGGGAATCGTTCGAACCTACGACCTTTGGAATACTAGCCCAATGCTCTGCCAACTGAGCTACGTGGTCAGGTCGGTTCGAGTATGTGATATTTCCGAACTGAGTCTAGTTCTTTCGATATCAATGTAATCTAGTAATCATGATATTTTCTGTGTTGCTGACATGATTACTAGATTACATTGATATCGAAAGAACTAGACTCAGTTCGGAAATATCACATACTCGAACCGACCTGACCACGTAGCTCAGTTGGCAGAGCATTGGGCTAGTATTCCAAAGGTCGTAAGTTCGATTCCCACCGTGGCCAGGCATATTTTTCAAGCCTGCCCGGTGTGGATATACACTCAAAGTAACATCACAAGCATCTTATTCACCTGAGTACATTACAGCAACACAGAAAATATCATGATTACTAGATTACATTGATATCGAAAGAACTAGACTCAGTTCAGAAATATCACATACTCGAACCGACCTGACCACGTAGCTCTGTTGGCAGAGCATTGGGCTAGTATTCCAAAGGTCTTAGGTTCGATTCCCACCGTGGCCAGGCATATTTTTCAAGCCTGCCCGGTGTGGATATACACTCAGAGTAACACCACAAGCATCTTATTCACCTGAGTACATTACAGCAACACAGAAAATAGTACGAGTGATGTTTGGAAATTTTGCCAAAATTGGACGAGCCGCCCGTTACTTGTTTATTATTAGAATGACAAAATTGAATACTTCTCAATGTTAACATCATATATTCTCTCGCCAAAGCCCAGTCCTGCCAAACTTTCAACCAAAATTTGGTGCTTTTGTCCGTATTTTCATTTAGTTGTTCTGTGGCAATTTCAATTCACGCTTGTGTTTAAATTACCTTTCCGCCATTTTGTTTGTTTTGAACAAATCATTAATTGTACTGCAGTACAATTAATGAAATAATTGTACTCCTCTCAACCAATCAGCATCCAGTAATTTTGTCATGCTAATAATAAACACTGAAAAACACGGATGCACACCGATTACACTTTGTTAATTTCATTTCAGTGAATACACACCCAATATGAATGAAACGCGATTCATTTTTTTGAGAAAATAGTTAATGGGAAAAAGTAAATAAAACATTCTTTGATATAGTATATAAAATCAAACGCATTGCACGTTCTCGTCAGAAAAAATGAAAATGCTCCAGTAGACCCAGTTGGGAAAGCCCCTTAGCTACTTCAATTGGGAAAAGTCCATCAAACAGACAGTATATGGGCTAGCTAACACCATGCAGTGGACGGACAATGCAGAAAGTACAGGTTTTTGGGCAGGCGGGATTTCAAGCTTCCCTCAAACATTCCAACCATCCCGGTTTACCCGGGACTGTCCAGGTTTGGACTATGTAGTCTCGGTGTCCCGGTTTTTTCTTATTGTCCCGATTTCTGTAGTATTTAAATTTAATAGTTGTATTCTTCAAATAAGGCTCATGTGACAAATATTAATGAAATTTGTTTGGTTCAATATGTATATATAAATAAAATGGGAGTTTCTAGTTGCCCCAAACAATTGCAGAGTTTGTCGCCGATCGTTGTATTATAAAATTCTCGTGGCATACGTTGTTTTGACAATTTAGCGTTCGCTTTCAATTCCTATTCATTTTGCCAGGGTTACATGAAGTAAAGCAGCATAACAAAAGCGGGCGCAATAATCGCAGGCTCTTGAATACAAGAGGATCACAGTTCAAAACACCAGAAGTAAAACGAAACAATTTCGCCATTACAGTACTTCAATGAAATTAAAGCTTGTGAGAAGATAATTATTGTATTACTTATGGGTTTCAACGTTAGTGTAATAAAACTAGTTTTTGTAGCATCCACTGTGAATTTATTGTTTAATTCAAACTCAACTGAGCCAATTTTAACACTAACCCAAACAGAGTCAATAGACACCTCATCAATGAGAAAAGCACAGCCGCATTTATTCGAGGGAGGCGTTTATTCGAGGGAGGCGTTTATTTTAAGTAAAATGGGAAAATTGGGAAGTGGCCTGGTTTTGAGGACTCGGAGGTTGGAATGTCTGTTCCTCCCTTTGCGTGCACGCTTATACCGCCTGCTATGCAGGCTATGGCGTTGCAGATAATTTTGGAAAATGCCATTGACTCTTAAGGCCCTGTTACACGGTGAAATTTTTCATGCAACTTGTCTCGTAATGTTTAAAAAAAATTTTTGATAGTGCATTGCAAGAGGTGTTACATGCTGCAATGATTTTCATGCAACTTGCAACGATAGGGGACAGAGGCATGCGAAGAGACTAAGGAGAGGCGCTATTTGGCGCCAAATTTTAATTAAAGTAAAGCGTGTACTGGGGAGAGCCAATAGGAACTCTCCAAACTATAAACATTGCGAGACAAGTTGCACAAAGCCATGTTACACACTGCAATGCTAAAAATAATTAGTGCAATCGTTGCCAAAAGTAGAACCGACTTCTACTCTGTGAAATGCTTCATGCAACTTGTCTCGCAAAGATTTTGACCATTGCAAGGCATGTTAAATGGTGCAATGACTCATGCAACTTGTCTCGCAATGCCATTGCGAGACAAGTTGCATGAAAAATTGCACTGTGTAACAGGGCCTTTAATTAGTCGACTTTTTCTCACTCTTACGACAGCTGGCAGCAATTAGCAAACAGTTTTTAATAATTTTCGCGCCTTTATTTCCTACCTGGCAATTCGATTCATAAAACCTGGGGCCGGTTGTATAAAAAAGTGATTAAAGTTAACTATAGTTAGTGGAAACGTCATCCAATAAGAAGCGCGTATTTGAGAGTTTATAATCACTATTTTAACTACAAAATAGTGATTAAAAAAGTGATTATAAGAGTTTATTATACAACCGGCCCCTGCAGTTTGAAAAATGTCAGAATAACACCCAATTCAAAGACTTACCAGCAAGGGCAGAGTTTTTCAAATATAAAGCTGGATGAAAATGAGTCATTATCCAAAAATTCCAACCCAAATTTACAATAATAATCCAACAATTTTGCACACTCGATGACTCGAATCAAGCGGCCATATTGAAATTCTTGTAAAACGTCATGTAAGCTAGGTATTAGAAAAGCAATTTCGTGGCAACCCCCTGGCTGTGCCCCTGGGGAATAGTTCTATGGTTCAATGCATATGGTTCAATCTTATTACGTTTTCGTAGCGCTTTGCATTGTGGTTATAGTGGTATCACTGGTATTCAAGATGGCATATTTTTTGTCCTGACCCCTATCACAACAATGTTGTTGTCTCCTCATCTCACAGTTGCCATGTAATTCACTTTATAGAGCAGCGGTGCCAACTGCTTACATTCATTCTTCTTTATATCGGACAGTACGACACTGCTGAGGCTATCCTTCGATCGATTAGCTGTACGTCCACCAACGATCAACAAATTATCAGCACATATCTCCGTGCCGTGGCCTTGTCTTGGTTCTGCGATAGCCAACAGCAAAATATTCGCAAAAACATTAAATATTTTCATTTCTTCATTGGAGGCCGCTATCTTTATCAGTGATACCACAATGCAAAGCGCTACGAAAACGTACTGGGGAATCTCGAGTTACCACAAAAAGTTCCCAAGCAAAAAACTTGCCAAACACCGAGAAAATAGGTGGTCAGTGATTATCCTCTATTAAGTTACAACAAAAATGACTTGCATCATCAGAAAGCTTACAAAAGTCTACGTATAAGACATTATTTAAACAGTTTTTTTTCTATCTCTAATTGTTTTGACTTATAACTGTCAAAAACGGTTTTTGACCTAGAACCCAGTCCTTATTACGACATTTTGATCGAATTTTCACATTTAAAACAGCACGAACTCAGGCAATTTGAAGGATCAAAAAACTGTTTAAAAGTGTTATATGCGGTTTTTTGTAAGCTTTCTGATGAAGCAAGTCATTTTTTCACAAAATTTCACATTTTCTTGCTGTAATACAATTTAATACAATTTAATAGAGGATAATCCCTGATCACCCATTTTCTCAGTGTTTGGCAAGTTTTTTGCTTGGGAACGTTTCGTGGTAATCGAGCATCTATGGTACTATGCATTGAAACGAAGCGAAATAATTTTGGCCAATGACCCACGGCCTAGACATTGACAAGCTTATTTCAATAAAGGGTGCTTTACTGCCCCCTGCAAATGCGGTTTTAAAATATTAAATTGTACAGAACAGGTGGAAATTTTGTTATCTTAGGCGGATTTCCATTCAGTGCAAAATGTTGCGCGATTAATTCTTTTGAATTACAAACAGTCAAGCGGAACAAATCTCATTAGCTGTAGTTGACTGCACGCATTTCAAAAGAAAGCGATTGCAAAAAAGCGATCGAGCGACATTTTGCACTGAATGGAAATCCGCCTTTAAAGCCTGTTTTCCACTAGGCGGAATTTTGCGGGCGGAGCGGGATTTTTCTTTGTCTTGTAATTTCTCGGGTGGAACTAATTAGAAAAGACAGAAAGATTCCGCTCCGCGCGAAAAATTCCTCCTAGTGGAAAACGGCCTTTAAGTGATAAATTTTGTAATACCCAGTTAATCCTTTAGGCACCATTTACTAGTACCTTTGTTACCAATATTTTAGCTTATTTCAGCGGTATGAATAGTTTTTTGGTAAATTATAGTCCGGTTTTCATAAACACATATTGTCAGTATTGACCACGCTGTTCGTATGCGTGGAACGAGTTTGGCTTCAAATTACCAGTCTTATTACAGTTATTAGATACCTTACGATTTTAGGACGGCAATGCGACGACAACGGCCAAAACAAACTCTTTCAAATGCATGGTAGAAAAGATAATTCGTCGTATGTTTATATCAATAGTATGAATTTGATACCGTCTTAGAAGTTGAAGACATGGGTTTTATGGTTGGGAAGAGTTCTGCTGAACCCAGTTTGAAGTTGCACTTGTTGCGGCTTGAAATGCAGCCGTTGTATCAAGACGTGAAAATCTGTGATTTGGCGTTGTAAACAGAGCGAGGACAATGTCTAAATTATTCATATATTGTAATTATTCAATTCTTTTCAATGATCAATATATTGTATTGGTAGCCGTCCTAAAATCGTATGGTCTTTATTCATTTCGCTGGTGTGACCAGATTTGTTAAATTAATTCACTTTCGGTAAAATTCCACCAATTTTATTGATTAAATTTAATTAACAACCCAAATTCTGTCCTTGGGGGGGGGGACTTATGCACGAATCGTACTTTCCAAAAATGTAATAACCCACTTACAAATGATTACCAAAATTGGATATCTATTTTTAAAGTGGTTAGTATTTATATGCCATTCGTATCGAAACCCGAGTAATAATAAATACAATATATTATAAATTGTTATGCAGCACGTGTGGAATGAGGAGTTTTCGATTTATATTAAATAATCAAATCGCAGAAATAATCGTTCGTGACCGGTACATTTTACTTGTCGTTTTAAGATAAACTTTGTATTTCGGCACATGTGCATAGGAGTTGTGTTCCTTCCACTTACCCTCTATTCTTCTATCAATGAACCCATCATGTCGGACAATTTCCATCAACGTCGGACAAACTTTTGGCCGCCCCTTGCATCTAATTGTTTTCCGCCCGTACGCCTGTGCGTTCGTTTGTGGCATGTCTGTCAAGATATTAGGTCAGGAACACATTCTTGTCCTTAGCAGAACCTCTACTTCCTCACGGTTTGAATTATGCTATAGCTGTTCGGTTAACCCGCAACCAAATTTTGCCCGCGAATCCAAAGGCGATGCCTGTCTGTCGAGGAGCCTGCATTGAAAGTTGTAAACATTGAGCCGGGTTATAGCGGGCGGCTATTTAATTGCTTCACATTATAATCGATAAGTATTAGCGTTTCCATTCTACTTTCCAAGCATTCCCAAAGGTGAATTCGCGATTTTTTCAGGAACGATATCAATAAAACTGGCAATATGATACATGTAGTCTGTGTAGCTACCAGTCTTAAAGATTGAGGCGTGGTCATGGAAAAATTAGGGAGGCGACCTCAAAACCGCTGGCTACGCGCAAACAATGTGACAGAAACAAATCAAGAAAGAACAGCTAACCAAAGGTCGAGTGACTGCCAAATCTCAAGTACTCTCATCCTCGATTGATCCGGGCTAAAGCGTTAACACAGAACACAACAAAATTTTTATATGTAGTTGCCTAATATGTATTCCAAATTTAAGTCAATGATAGTGACAAACACGTCTTGGAACGTTACCCTAAAACATTTCAAAAAACACCCGGTCGATAATTACGTCACAAATCCCTGTTTGGTCTGAGTTTCGTTCTCATGAATCCTGAGTGAATTGCCTTTTGTCTTTATTTATCAGAGCAAGTCTCCTAGGCAGGCCAAGGAAGTACTTGTGATATAATTATTGAAAGGGTGTATTACATGAGAATGAACGAACAGGAAGAACATTTTACGAACTCCTGTGTAGACGATACAACTATACTTGAAAAATACAGAAATAACTTTGACGTTTCAAACAAAATCCCTTCGTCTGGAAATTATTGGAAATAGTTGCATCATCAAAACAATTCTTCTTCGCTAACTACATTGGAGCCAACGATATCGATGTTGCTGTCATTTTCTTTCAAGTTAGTGTACGAGTCCGATTAGACTTTTGTTTAACTATGCTTTCTATATTGTCAATGAGCGTTGGTCTTAAATCTTGATTTACTCCGTTAATATGAATAACCTATGTCATTCTAGGTTAAACATCTGTATGTTAACTGCTCTTATCAGATTTAATTTTAGTCTTTCTAAATTTATTTTTTATACATTTCTCCCACTCTTTGCGATGTGTAAAGTACAGCTTCATGGCAGCACGCGCATCTTCCACCTTTAAATAAATTGAAGTTTACATTAAAACGTACCACCCAGCAGAATTCATGGATTTTAGATATGATGTTATGGACGAATTCATTACTAGGCTAACTAAAATTTTAATTAATAAGACTCCTTAAATTCGTTAATGACATATATTATTCTGTTATGATTAATTGTTAGGTGTGCATGTGCTTACCGAAGAATGTTCACCAGATTGAATTGACAGAGACAAGATTTCTTTTGCAAGTTTCTTCAACGATGGACGCTTCGTCTTCAAACATAAAAAGTATGTTAGACCATGTTAACGTAGCATTTTTTGCTGCAACTTGCAACACTATTTCTGACATAGAGCGAAGTTATGTTATGTTATGTTACTAATCATTTCTTTCATTCTCATCCATACATCAGTGGTAGGTTCAGACTTTGTTTTCCACCACCACTACCGCAACCTCTCACAGGCTTATTACGCATTTAATTGGTTAGTCAGATAAGACAAATGCATCTGATTGGTTCATGGTAACGGTAGCGATAACGGAAGTCGGATATTCGTTCTTTATATAGTATTCTTCATATATGCTGACTGCATTTTCTGCCCACCAAGAGATTTTCCAGTACGAATGGTTCCATTGTTGTTATTTTTCTACCCCTGAAACTTGGTAAGATCAGATAATACCAAGTTTTTCTAAATTGGACTACATTTCCTAATTACCTTTACTTTCTCTTGAAATGGTTTATATTTAGCTGTATCACGAATACGCTTTCTTGGATGATCCAGTAGTAAGACCTGCAAAACAATTCATTAACATATCATGCTGCAAATTACAAAAAAAGGTGTGCAAAAGGCACAATACTAAACGTCTAAAAGCTGACATGGGTCCTAAGGAAAATATAGCAAAGCGACCGCATTATTTATCAAGGTGAGCAAGTGACCTCGGTGTATATCTCAAGAGCAAGCCAGCTAAACGTTCTTCATGTTCATTGGATTTAGAAACGTAATTACTCATGGTTTTATGGATTTCTGAAAATTGAAAAATTGCGCTAAACTAAACATCGTCATTGTCTTTTCAGTTGTTTACTTGTATGAACTCTACGTGTGGGATAAACTGCGCAATCTATAACCTAGAGTAAGCAATAATTTGAAAGTTAATATAAATACTGAAAAAAATTATTGCGTGCAACAAGGGAGGCACTTGTCAGATTTGAATTAATTAATCAATGTGATAAATCGATATTATCATTTATGAGAATGAACAGATAGGAGCAGTTCTAAGACGGATTCAAAGACATTTTTGTGTTTGTCTTTGAAGATGGACATAACACTCGTCTTCGTTCTCAATACTTTTACAAGGGTTGACTTGAGCTTGGCCTTTCTTCTGTACAAGTTTTCTGCTTCAGGAAGTGCTTCACTTCACCATTGTTCGATGGAGACTACCATACGCATTTTGAACAACGTCTGCAAAATATGCTTAGCTCGTAGAGCATTCCAGTCAGCGTGTTCAAAATCAAAGACGGTTCTTTTATCACAACCGATTGACGTGCAGTGCAAGGTTGAAGAACATTAGATGATGCTCTGTGAATGTATCCGATGACGCACGGAACATTAACGATGTCTTGAAGAAAAGATGCTAAGACAACGTCTTGAATATATGATTCCTTGGCTGAACAAAGTTTGATGTAGAAAAAAGTCGAAACTAATGTTGAAGATCCAAAAGGGTTTTGTTTTGAAACTTGTCTATATTTCTAATATTATTAGATGAAGTATTACGATAACAACGGCTAAAAACGCACAAGTTGTTCCAAGTTGATATCGACAGGCGTGAACAATGTTGTGCGGCCAACTACGAACAAGTTGTCAACCATGTTGTTCCAAGTTGTTACATGCAGTTGAACAGTGCTGTAACAACATGTTGACAATACTGTTCATAGTGGGCCGCACAACCTTGTCCACGCCTGTTGATATCAACCTGGAACAACTTGTCGATTTTCTTTTTACGTTTGTTTTGACAGTTTTCGTACAAGTTCTCCTTAACAGCTGCCTTTCTTTCTGGCCGATTCTTCTTCTCTACAACGGCAGTATTAACATCACTGACGAATGGTTCTGTACTGGGATCTTGTGTTCCGGATGATTCTTCGTTCAGAATCAACTAATTGTTCTTCATCCTCGTTACCGCATTTCGCGCGAATTTCTAATGGGATTAAATGTTGTATATAGGTCTTCGTATGATGATAGGCTTTCGAGACTCACTGTTCAACACTCGAATCTTCGCTGATCTTACAACACCGCCAATACTTCGAATAAGCTCTTTGACCTTCACCATTTTTCAAAATAACCGCTTCGTGCTCTCGTTCTTCAAAATTACAATTACGTCCCTTGTATCGTTGTTACTCGATCTCGCTGCTTCGCGAATGGTTAGCAAGTATTCTCGCCTCCTTTGTTTAGCAAATTCCTTTAGTAGAGTTTTGTAATGTTTAGCTCGTTTTGTCAAAGACTAGTTTGTGCCCAGCCTAGACCTAGGCCTTCTAGTCTTATTTATATTTTTTTTAATATTCAGCGCTTTTTCACATGAAAAGACTGGGACTAGGTGATTTGGGGGCGGGGCGGAGGAAGCAAGCCTAGAAGGCCTAGTGGATTTCCCAACAACAAGGCCAAAACTGCCCTGAAACTGCCCTGGTTGCGAAATGCCCAATTATTGCGTTCTCAAACAGAATTATTTGCAACTTAACGGCGAATTTAAACCGATACAGGTAAAATAAACTCATTTATAGTATAAACTTACTATTTTTATTTGTATACACGTCTAGAAAATCGGGGGGTTTTTATCATAAAGTTCGAAACAACACTATTATTTAATATGTTGACAAGGTGTAGCGAAAGCACAAAATGAGTCAAAATATATACCAAAAGTAGAATCTTTCATGAAATTTTGTCTTTAATATACACAACTACATTAATATATATTTTCTCAATTTTGGCAAGAAGCAGTCTTGTGTTTGTAAAATATAGAAACACATATACAATTATAATTTATTAAATAAAACGGATACATATATTATTAGCTCGTACAGTACTGTATATAAAAACGTACATTGTTTACAAATGGTATATTCGTAATGTTTGAACAATAATTTCAAAATCCTCATTCCTAATTCGCAAATATAGTTATTCAAAGCAAAACAGTAGATTGTCTTGCGAATAAAAGAATTATTTTGTACTTTCGCTTCACCTTATCAACATAATAATAGTCTTGCTTCGAACTTTATGATAAAAACCCCGATTTTCTAGACGTGTATACAAATAAAAATAGTAAAATTATACTATAAATGAGTTTATTTTACCTGTATCGGTTTAAATTCGCTGTTAAGTTGCAAGTAATTCTGTTTGAGAACGCAATAATTGGGCCTTTCGCAATCAGGGCAGTTTCAGGGCAGTTTTGGCGTTGTTGTTGGGAAATCCACTATAGCCTTCCATTTTTTCGCTTGCGTCAGGCTTGTGTCCTTCCTGGGCCACGCCCCCAAATTACCTAGTCCCAGTCTTTTCATGTGAAAAAGCGCTGAATATTAAAAAAATATAAATAAAAATAGAAGGCCTAGGTCTAGGCTGGTTTGTGCCCACTATCTCGAACTGGATGTCGTTTGGTGTATTCGTCGTTCTCCGTCCATAAAGTAGACAAGATGGCGTAATGAGGTACGATATGCCTTCTTCATCATCGTATATGTACGTAGTTGGACTTATTTAACGTTAACTCAATCTCGATCAATATTGGGCGTAAATCTTTAAACGATAACGTAGCTCGATCAATGGACTTTTTAGGCATCTTTTAACACTCTTTATCGAACGTTACCAAAAGCCCCCATGCCATGGGGTTTTTCGAGAATGAATTTCCAAGGTACGCCATTGTTTGCGAGATGTTGTTGCACGCCGGTAAACTCGGAAGCAGTTCTAAATGAATTCTCCGTGTTGACGCACAAGTAAGTAGAGCGATGTATGACTTTCTTGTTGATTGTTGACTGCACTTTGAGTCCTCTCTGACGTTGAGGGGTCGAGCGAAATCCACTCTCGTGTTAACAATCACTCGTTCGCCAAGATGGTAGGTGCGGGGTCTTGGGCGTAGGGTACGGCTTACCTTCTAATCTTTTACAAGTTACACATTTACGTAGAACTCGTTTGACGTCCAGAAATAAGCGTAGTTGATCAAGCTTTGAGCTGGAAGTTTTCGTACCATTAATTGCTTAACTTCGGGAAACACATTGTTCTGAATATCCTTTATCCACATCTGTTCAGCTTCGATCAGTTCGTCTGCTGATAGTTCCAACGTTTTACATACGATAAGTCCATTAACCCTCCTTACGAACCTAAATACGTAAGCCGTCAATCGTAATAATCGTGTTTTCGAACTACATCGATGACAATCCACCACCTTTCCGACATCAACTGTGTTATATTTCTTCTTCAAGACAGCAAGGGAATGAGTTGTTGACCGATTTCACCATTTCCAATAATGCGATTTCACTTTCTGCGCCATTACATCGACGTTTTGGCCAGTTTTCTACTGATAATTTCAAGAATTTAGGACCATGGAACCATTCGTCATTTTTAAGGGACGGACCATTAGAAAAGTGATGGGGAGGGTGGGGAAAAAACAGAAAAAAAATCCATGCAAACAAAAAAGGTTTGAAAAAAAATACATGCAAACAGACTTGTTTAAAAAAAAAATTACAAACAGAACAACAATAAAACTTTAATTTTAAATGTACATCAGACAAAATTGAACTAAATCTTTGGAATATTTCAGAATATAAATATATCAAAATATATAATATATTAATATGCAATTTCTTTCAATATTAACAGTAACTCTTATGTAGTTTTATTATATACTATCAAAATATTTTCTATTGTATTTAATATTTAATTCTCATTCACACTGCCACTGTCCTCAGTGGCGTAACTACTATGGGCTCGGACTGGGAGAATCCGGGGGCCACCAACCCCAATGGGCCCGCAAATGGGGGGCCCCAGGCTCAGGCTATAGAGCAAAAACATTGGCCAAGGGCCTCTGAAATGTTAAAATGGCGTTTTCTGACCATCAGAATTCTGTAAAATCTCTCCCCAAAGTCCGGGAAATGGTATTTCAGAGAATTTAGATTCAAAAATTTTCCGGGTGAGCATGCTCTGGACCCCTAGAAAACTTGTCCATATATGGTGCTTAAAGATATAATTTTGCAGTGTGTATTAAAGGGATATTTTCTTGTCAAGAGAACAGTTTCGTTAACATTTGTATAGTTGTATTGGAAAAAAAATTGCAT